ATCAATAACTAATAACCAATAACCAATAACCAATAGTTAATAACCAATACCAATAATTAATAATCAATTACCAATAACTAATAACCAAAATAACCAATACCCAAAAAAACAAATAATCAATAATCAATAATCAATAATCAATGATCAATGATCAATGATCAATAATCAATAATTAGTAATCAATAATTAGTAATCAATAATTAGTAATCAATAATTAGTAATCAATAATCAATAATTAATAGTCAATAATTAGTAATTTTCATCATGAATATGACTAAAAATTTTCAACATATAATCAATCATTTTAAAATATTTTCTATTTGTAAACTAACTTTATTTTTTTTTTTTTACAATAGTTGGACTGAAAAAGATGTACCAGTTCCATTATATAAATTAGATCATCAAAAACTTTTAGAAAAATATGGTTATGGTAATAAAATTTACAAAATTCTTCAAAAGAAAGATAAATAAATATAAAAACTATATAATAGAAATTTTTTTAAAAGCAACACCAACAACCAACATAATAATATAATATGACCAAATCAATTTAAAAACCTAAATAAAATCCTCTATCTAAAATTTGTTTTATAATCGAATCAAATAGAAAAAAAAATATTTTGCAACAATGTTGCAGTGTATTATTTATTTATTTTTTCTTAGTATGTAAAATAAAAAAAAACAGTTAACATTTGTTTTTCAAAAGACTCAATTCGAGAGATTTGTTTATATTTTATTTAGAATATTGAACATTGTTTTCAAAGGTTCTTTCATAAAAAAAAAAACCCAATTGCAAATTCTTTTTTTTTTTTTTTTTTTTTTTAGAATTCAGATATTTCAATAACATCAATTTTATATTACACGTCAGCCATACATGATTTTTTTTTTTTTTTAAACAAAAACAAATATTAATAAATCAAAGTTTTATTTAATTAGTAATATTTGTTACTATAATTTTTATTTTTTTTTATTTTTTTTTATTTTTTTATTTTTATTTTTTTGATTAAAACTGAATAAATAACCGCAAATTGCAATTAAAAGATCTCAAAAAAAAAAAAAAAAAATATAAAAAATAAAAACTTTCGGTTTTTTTGTAAAAAATAATATATTTTAAATTAAAAATTTTAACTACTTTTCAAAGATTTAGCCATAGACTACGGAAATAGAAATGTTCCAGTAGAAGGCGAAATAGAAATTAATTTTATTTTATTTTTTATTTTATTTTTTTATTTTTTCTTTATTTTTTATAAAAAAAAAATGATATAAATAGAAAAAAAATTTATATAATTCTTGGGCATTATTATTATTACACATTATAACTACATTAAATTGTGTATTTAATTTTTTTTTATTTTTTTTTTTATTTTTTTTTCACCCCTAATAACCCCCACCGCACTAATAATAAATTTTTATTTTTTGTTTTTGTTTTTTAATTTTATTTTCATTATTAAATAAATAATTAATTAATTACACACACACAAGTTCAGAATGGAAAAAATTAATAAAGTTATTAAAGGTACTAATAAAAGTTACAGTGATGACATGTTTGTAGATGGATTCGATTGCTTTGAATTGTTCCAACAAAGACATGGTTACACATATGACGATTTAATTATGTTACCTGGACACATTAATTTTTCAGCCGACGATGTTCCACTTCAAACCAACCTCACAAAAAATATTAAATTAAATGCTCCTTTAGTTAGTTCTCCAATGGATACTGTCACAGAACATCTCATGGCAATCAATATGGCTTTATTGGGTGGTATTGGTATTATTCATTACAATAACAGTATCGAAGAGCAAGTTATAGAAGTTAAAAAAGTTAAAAGATTCAAGAATGGTTTCATTACTGATCCAATCGTTTTATCTCCACACCACAAGGTCTCTGATGTTGATCAAATCAAAGCTAAATATGGTTTTTCTGGTATTCCAATCACTGATACTGGTAGAATTGGTGGTAAACTTGTTGGTATCGTTACTAGTCGTGATACTGATTTCATTAAGGATCGTTCAACTGTTCTCAGTGAAGTTATGACAACCGATCTTGTTATTGGTCAACAAAACTGTTCACTCGAAGAAGCAAATACCATTATGAGAACCAGTAAGAAAGGAAAGTTACCAATTGTCAACGAAAATGGTGAGCTTGTTGCTTTAGCTTCTCGTGATGATCTTTTAAAGAACAGAGATTTCCCATTGGCAACCAAAGATCACGAAAATAAGAAACTTTTAGTCGGTGCTGCACTTGGAACAAGAGAAACCGATAAGCAACGTTTATCTGCTCTCGCTGAGGCTGGTGTCGATTGTGTTATCCTCGATTCATCACAAGGTGATTCCATTTATCAACATGAAATGATTAAATTCATTAAAAGAAATTATCCAAAGGTCGATGTTATCGGTGGTAATGTAGTAACCACCAGCCAATGTGAACATTTAATTCAAGCTGGTGTCGATGGTCTCAGAGTTGGTATGGGTGTAGGTTCTATTTGCACCACTCAAGAAGTTATGGCATGCGGTCGTCCACAAGCTACTGCTGTTTTCAAATGTGCCCTCTATTCCAGCCAATACAATGTACCAATTATTGCTGATGGTGGTATTCGTTCCATTGGTCACATCATTAAAGGTCTTTCATTAGGTGCTTCATCCGTTATGATGGGTAGTATGTTAGCCGGCACTGAAGAAGCTCCAGGTGAATACTTTTATAAAGATGGTATGCGTTTAAAGAAATACCGTGGTATGGGCTCACTTGAAGCCATGGTTAAAGGTGGTGACCAAAGATACTTTAGCGAAGGTGATAAAATTAAAGTTGCTCAAGGTGTCAGTGGTAGTGTTGTAGATAAAGGTTCAGTTAAAAAATTCGTTCCATATCTTGTTCAAGGTATTAAACATGGTCTTCAAGATCTTGGTTGTAATTCATTATCCAATCTTCGTGAAAGTGTTTATGGCGGTAAAGTTAGATTCGAAGTTAGAACTGCTGCCGCTCAAGTCGAAGGTTCTGTACATAGTTTATTCTCATATGAAAAACATTTTATTTAAATTAAATTAAATTTTAAAAAAACCCAATCAATAAAATTGTAAATATATATAAATATATACATGGATATATAAAATATATTAATATTAAAATACTCGTTTATTTTTAAAAATATTTATTTGTGATATATTTTAAAAATTAAATTTATTCTTTTATATAATTTCTTTTAAATAATATAATTAATTTTATAAATAACCTTATAAAACAATGTTATATATATATATCATCTATCGAAAATTTATACCGGATCATTATTTGAGATGAAATAATTAAAGAGACAATATAAGACAAACCCACATACACACCACACCACACATAAAAACACACTACAACAAAACACACTAAACACACATACCACAAAACAATTAAATATCTTTTTGGTGGAAGATACGAAAATAAACAATTTTTATTTTAAGATATAATGAAATCAATATTAAATTAAAAAAGAAAATGCGAAAAAAAAAATGGGTAAAAATAAACTGAAACCAAAATGATTTAGGTGTAATTCCTAAATCAAAATTTTAGATATCTTGTATTATAATTATTATTTTTATTACTATTCATATATTCATTTTATTCATATTATCTTATTACTATTTCATTACTATTTTGTTAATAAACAGTACCATTTATATGGTTTTTATTTCATAATTGATATATTTGGTTTAAGTGTAACCAAAATCAAAAATATTTATTTTTTTTTATTTTTTTTTTAAAAAAATATTTTTTTAAAATTATTTTTTAAAAAAATTTTTTTTTTAATTTTTATAATTTTTTTAATTTTTTTTTTTTTTTTTATTTTTTTTATAAATTTTTTTTATTTTTTTTCTCTTTATCTCTCAAATTGTATGAGAAAAAGTTAATAAACAATAACAGCATTAGCAATTTAATACGATTGTTTAGTGTTTGTTGTTACCCTTTTTTTTTTTTTTTTTTTTTATAAAAAAAACTAAAAAAAAGAAACTTTAGGGTCTAAAATTATACCATAGAAAAAAAAAAAACCAAATAAATAGTTGGAAACATATTTTTCTACTCCTCAAATAATCACCCAAATCAAAATAGTTAAAGAGTATAGTATATCATGTTATAGTTCATTTATAGTTTCAGTAATATAGCATAATACAGCAATTTAAATAGTTTTTTTTAATAATATTCAACTTGTGCACATCATACATTAACCATTATAGATATTTATAATTATTAGCATAATAAAGAAATAAATGTAATCAAATAACAATAAAAAAAAAAAATAATAAAAAATAATAAAAAATAATAAAATAAAAGAAAAAAAAAAAAAAAAAAAAAAAACCCCCCCCTTTTTTTTTTTTTTTTTTGATTTATTATCTCCATTTTTTTTTTTTTCTTGCTCATAATTTTAAAAATTAAAATTAATATTAAATATTAATTTTTAATCCCTAATAACATCAATAAAATAACTATATAATAATAGCTAAATAAAATAATTAGTTTTAAAAAAGATATATGACATATAAATTATATAATATTAATGCTCTTTTTAAATTTTATAATATAGAATTTTTTTATAGAAATAGTTAATAGGGTTTTTTTAATAATAAATTAATATACAAAAAAAAGGTACAAATCTTATATATAGGTTTTAGAATACTTTTAGCACTTTACAAATATATTTATATAGTTTTTTTATAGTTATTGTAGATAGAAATTTGTAGATAATAATAAAACAACTATATATATAAACAATTTATAATATATTATAAATTTTAAAAGTTTAAAATGGAAAATGATCAACCAAAACCTTTAGATGAAAATTCAAGAAAAAGATCATTAAGTGATGTTGGTATCAATATAAATACAAATAAAGAGACCCCGAAAAGAGCATTTCGAATTTATTGGGCAAATGATAATCACATGTATTGGACTTTATTATTGGATTCAACAAACACAGGTATGTTTTATATTTATAAATAACAAAAAAATATCAATTTAGCTAATTTTTATAATTTTTTTATTTATAATTTAATTTTCAGTTGGTGATGTAAGTGAGGGTCTAAAAGATAAAGTGCCTTCGAGTGGAGTTCAATGCTATTTATATAAAAGAACCAAAGCAAATTTTGGACGTTGGAAAGATAGAAGACTTTCAAACGAGGATTATGTTTGGGATATTGTAGACCGTAGAAGAAAAAATCATAAATCAGATCCAATTTTTGTATTAAAGAGAAAAAAATCAACATTTTCAATTTCACAGAAAAAATCACCCCAAATAGAATCAGATACATCACCACTTTCAAGTTCAGGCGAAATTTTAAATCCTAATAATAATACATATGGCCATCATCGTAGTACAAGTGGTGGTAATCCTTATATATCACAACCACCTTCAATCCCACCTCCACCACCACCACCTCGTGATTATTTGAATAACATTAATAATAATAATAATAATAATAATAGCAATAATAATATCAACAATAATAACAATAATAATAATAATACCAATAATACCTTAAATAGTAATAATCTTTTAAATAATAATAGTTTTATTTCTCCAATGTCATCATCATTAGTTTCGTTATCATTATCATCTTCATCATCATCACATTCACCATTATCATCATCTATTCCATCCACACCAAATAATATAACACCAATTAATACATCACCAGTTATTCCCCAAAGAAATAGTAGATCATTGAAAAGTACTATGGAAATGGAGCCACCTCCAACTCATTTAGCTACCACTACTACAACAACCACTACAACCACTACAATAACCACAGATTCATCGCCAAATAAATCAGGTAGACCATTATCTGGTTCATTTGTTCCAGGTTCAATAGCAAATGGCTCTAGATCAAGTAATCCAGATTTAATAGGGTTTAAACCAGTTTCAAATAGTCACCCAGTGGAACAACAGTCTGAACAACAAAAATCACCATCAGCAGAAACAGCTACACAAAATCAACACCCATCGCAACAACCAATCCAAGTTTCACCCTTATTACCTTCACTCCAACAACCTCAATCAACTCAGCAACATCCACAACAATATGCACAACAACACCAACAACAACAACAACAACAATATTCACAACAACCACAAATTTATCACCCAGCCACACAGCAACAACCACCTCAACCACCAACTACTAATAAGCCTTTAAGTGGTAGTACAGGAATGAGCAGATCTTCAAGTCCAAGTCCGTTTGCCAAAAAGAATAATGGCAGTCTCTTAGAAAGAAAAAATAGACTTTCAGTCCAGCCCAAAGATATCATGCGTTTAATGAGATTTTACTTTGGAGATTCATTAGATGGCACATTTTTTACAATTGCAGTCCAAAACGATACCAACGCAAAAGACGTTTGTTTGTCGGTAGAGCAAAAATTACTTTTACCAAGCCACACAACATTTGTATCATTAGTTTTACCATTCCAACCAAATGGATCAAAAATTGAAAGGGTTTTAGGTGATGAAGAAATTATTATTGAAGTTAAAGATACTTGGGAGGATCCATCTCAAACATTTTTTCAAGTTACTCATAAACAACAGGCAATTAGCAACAAAAGACTTTCTAGACAAATCCCACAAATTGAACCCAATGTTATTCCCAGTGAATGGAGAAGAAGTACTGATGCAGTCACTCTTAGAGCATCCAGCGATGATATGTGGAAAAGAAAATCGATACCTATTTTCTTACAAGTTACAGGTCCACCCAATAGCTCAGGAGGTCATTCACCACAAAGACATCTACCAAACTCACCACATAACATGAGCAGTTCACCACATAATAATCCACCACCATTCCACTCACATCAACACCCATTAGATCACCAACATCAATTAGTAGACGACGAAAGCAGTGACGACGAATCAGATTTTGATGTTTCTACCCTTCGTGGTTGGGTTCATTGGATTCCAAGTGCAGATTTAGAATATATAAAGAGAATTGGTTCAGGTACATACTCTAAAGTTTATAAAGGAAAATATAGGGAAAAATTTGTAGCAATTAAAACTATGCGTGGTTCAAACATGACTACCGAACAAATTGAATCATTTAAAAAAGAGTGCGATATTCTTAGTACTATTCAATCACCATTCCTCATTTCTTTCTATGGTAGTTGTATCGAAGAAAATCAATTAAGCATGGTTGTAGAGTATTGCAGCAAAGGTACACTCCACAAAGTTTTAAATAACAATTTATTGGACTTTGATTGGGATAAATGGTTCAAATGGATGATCGAAGTCGTAGAGGGTGTCAAGTATCTTCATAACATGAATCCACCAATGGTTCATCGTGACTTAAAGACATTAAATATTTTAATTTCATCAGATTGGTCCGCTAAACTTTGTGATTTTGGTCTCACTCGTACAATGACAATGACAAATGTTAGTACTCTTGGTATGCTTCGTGGCACAATGGCTTACACTGCCCCAGAAATTTATGATGGTCTCTTATTTAATACTAAATCAGATGTCTATTCTTTGGCTGTTATTATGTGGGAAGCTGTTCAACGTTGTATTACTGGCACCTATTTAAGACCATTCCACGAACACCCAATCTCTATGGATATTCAAATTATTATTCTAACCTCCAAGAATAAAGTTAGACCCAAGATTAATGAATTTTGCCCAGAAGAATTAAAGACTCTTATTACCAGGTGTTGGGATGAAAATCCAGATAAAAGACCAAATTGCGAAGAAATTTTAGATACCTTATTAAGATTTAAAGCAGCTCATGAAGAAAATAGGGATACTTGGGAATCAATAAGAACCAAGACATCAAAACAAACAATTAAAGCAATTAGCAGTGGTAATATTCAATCATCATCATCATCATCATCATTATCATCAACAACAACTTCTTCATCAAATTGTAACAATAATCTTAACAATAATATTAATAATAATACTAACATTAGTAATACTAATGGTAGTAATATCATCAATAATACCAATAATAATATTAATAATAATAATAATAATTTTAGTAACAATATTAACAATAATATTAATAGCAATAATAATCAATTATTAGATAGTCCAATTTTATCTCCACTAAATAATAATAATGTTCAAACTATTAGCAGTGTAAAATCAGATAGCGCTATTAGTAGTATAGTAAATGTACCAGCCGTACTTGGTAGAGAGAGAAAAAATTCAATTACAATTGCTGAAACAATAGTTAAAACAATACAAGCTCCTGATGGTTCCGCTCTTGTAACTGAAGTTTTTGATTTTGAAGTCCCTCAATCGCCACCCTTAGAACCTGTTTCAAATAATATTATTATAAAGCCATTAGATATTATAGAAACAAATATAGATAAATCTTTTATAGAAATTAATAGTAATTTAAATAGTTTAAAAATTCAAGATAATAATGTCAATAATAATTTAGGGTCCGAAAATAAATTTATTGATGGTGAAAATAATAACAATAATAATAGTAATAATAATAATAATCAAATCATTAGTGAAAACACCAATGAAGATATTAAATCAAATAATTGTATTAATAATTGTATCAATACAGAACCAAATGATAATAATAATTCAAATTGTATAAAATCGATAGATCCAATCATTTTAAAATGTGAGGATGATTAAAAATAAAATTTTTTTAAATAAATTTAAAATATTTTAAAAAAACAAAAATAACTATTGTAAATGTAAAAAAAAAAAAAGTTTATAATCTGTTATCTTTTATTATTTTTTTAATAATTTTTTTAAGGAGTTTGCTTTTTTTTCTTTTTTTAATTGCTTTTTTTCTTCAAACTCTTTTGGAGGTAAAATTACTTTGGATTTTTTGTTTGGATTTTCTTTAACTGGTTTTACAAAAAGTTTTTTAGTTTTGATTTGTTTCGATAGATCGGCAACACCAGCCAAGCTTCTAGAGCTAACAGTGATAATTGGTAAAATTGAATGGTGATAGTTTTTAAGTTCATCGGTTGTAATTTGAATTCTTTTTGCAAGATTGATTTGAAGGACCAAGTCAGCTTTTGTTAACACTATATGGGTTTTGATTTTCTTTTTATCTAATTCCAATAATAAAGTTCTATCGCTATCCTTCAAACCATGACGTGCATCAACTAAAATGTATACACATTTTAGTGTTTTACGAGTGGTTAAATATTCATGGGTAATGTTCTCCCATGATTCTAATTTTACATCTTTAGCAAAAGCAAAACCATAGCCTGGTAAATCGACTAAGTATAATGTTGATCCTATTTCATACCAATTGATGGATTGGGTAAAACCAGGTTTATCTGATGTTTTTGCCATGCCCCTTTGAGTGAGTGCATTAATTAAACTTGATTTCCCAACATTACTTCTTCCAATGAATGCTACCTCTGGTAAAGTTTCTGGTAAAAATGAATGTAGTGATTTGGCTGAACCAATTAGTTTCATCTTTGAGTCGAAAAATCTTTCAATTCCTTTCTTTACCTCTTTTTTAACACTTTCTAATTTGGTAGTACCTCTTTTTTGTTTATATATTCTGTGAATACCAAGTCTTTTCTCTTTAATTGTTTCTAATAGTTTGGCATCATATTCTAGTTTTTCAAATTTCTTATTTTTAGATGATGCCTCTGCTGCTGCAGCTTGTGCAGTTGCTGATAGGTTTGATCTTGTGGTATTTTTAGTTGGTCCATTATCTTTCGTCTTTTGTAATCTTAAATGCCAATCTGCTCTTGTGGACTCTTTAAGTCTCTTTGATGATTTTTCACCAACAATTAAATTTAATTTTTTTATATCTTCATTCTTTTTGGCATATGATAAATTTGATTTGGGAAGCTGTTTAATATCTGTTTTTTTAATTAATTCTTCTCTTGCTTTTGATTTTGTTTTTATAATTTGTTGTTTTCTTTTTTTTTCCTCTTGTTTTTTGCTTGCATAAAAACTATTTATATAATTATACTGATTAAGGTTATTATTAAATATATTGGTTGTGGATATTAGTTTAGGCCTTATTGTGTTTGATTTGTTTAAAAGATTTATTGATTTTAATAATTGATTCATATTTATTAATTTTAAAAAACTAAAAAAATATTAAAAAAAAATAAAAAATAATAATTTTAGTCGTTTTTTTTTAAAAAAAAAAATTTAAAATTATAAATTTAAATAAAAAAAAAATTAAATAAATTATTGTTAAATCAATTAAACTATTATTCATTTTTATTTAAACAGTTTATAAATTTAAACAAATATTATTTAATTATAAAAGAAAGGTAATATGAAATAATAAATTTTTTTTTATTTATTTTTTGATTAATGATTTTAAATAATTTGCATTATTTTCTCCATGTTCATCAACAAAATAGTTAAACAATCCATTTGATTTTAATAAATTTGAAGGTGTGTCAAACTCTACAACTTTTCCTTTTTCCAAAACCAAAATTCTATCAGAGTTCCTGTGTTTTAAAAAAAAATAATTAATAATTGTTCATAGTGATCTTACTATTTGAATAATACAAACATTATAGAGGATAAACGATGGGCAATTGTTATTACAGTTATATCTTTGAACTTTTCATTGATACATCTTTGAACAATTTCTGAATTATGGCTATCAATTGATGAGGTTGATTCATCTAAAATTAATATCTTGGTATGTCTTATTAGTGCTCTACCCAAACAAATGAGTTGCTTTTGGCCAACACTAAAGTTATCACCATTTTCCAAACATATGGAGTCCAAACCACCTTCTGTTTTTTTAATGTATTCTGCTAATTGAACATCCTCCAAAACCTTCCATAATGTAGAGTCATCCCATTGGCCAAATGGATCTAAATTCTCTCTAAGGGTTCCATTAAATAATACTGGGTCTTGTGAAATAATTGAAATATTTTCACGTAAATCTTTTAAACCTATTTCTGATATATTAACATTATCTATAATAATTTTACCTTCGGCTAGCTCGACTAATCTAAATATGGCAGTTGTGCAACTTGTTTTGCCAGAACCTGTACGACCACAAATAGCAACTTTTTCTTTACCTTTAATTTCGAAAGATATTTGATTTAATACTTTTGGTAAACCTGGACGATAACATAATGAAACTTTATCAAATTTAATTACCCCATTCTCTGGCCAATTTGCTGGTGGTCTATTGTTTTCTATAATTGCTGGTGCTTCTGAAGGTACGTTCATATATTCTACAATACGCTCAAGGGAATTCATTCTAGTTTCTGTATCGGCACTTGTAATAGTTGCTTTATTTAATGAGTTTGATAAACTAAGAGCATAGCTTAAAGATAAACCAATACTTGGAATGTCTATTGTTGATCTATTAAGTGAAATAAAAAGACAACAAAAGAAAGTGATGATGTTTACCAATAGGTCCAAACGCAAACTTAGCCACTGGTTAACTGATTGGAGTGTAAGGTAGCAGTTATTATTACTATCTAAAAGGATTTGATTCTTGACAATACTTTCATGTTCTTTTTTAAAAGCACGTAATACAACAACACCATTTAAGCTTTCTGAAAAATGTGAAAATATAGGTGAACGTGATATTGATTCTAATCTTTGAAGCTCTCTTGAGGTGAAACGGAAATAATATTGAACTAGGTAAAAAATAATGCTGATTGGGACTAATGGTACTAAAAGCATTGGTGTAACAATTGAAATTACCACCAAAGTTGCAATGACTGATGTGATAAAGTAATAAACGTGATTTATACTACCGGCTAATGTATAGTCAACAGTATCGGTATCTTTTGTTAGTCTATTTAAAATACGTCCAATTGGGGTTGTATCAAAGAATGCCATTGTTGACCTAATTAATGAGTTGAAAAGCTTGATATGGATAATACGAGCAGCACGAACGGAATATTCATATAAAACATAATAACGAGCAGTTGAAACTATCATTGAAACTACACCGATTGCTAAAAATATAACTAAAAATTGAACTCCACTAAGGTTTATAGAGCCTTCTTGTTCATATTGCATAGAGGACCAAAAACTTAGCCACCAAGTTGAAAAGGTGGCTATAGCCATATCCAGAGTAGCCACAAAGAATACGGTAAAGAATAAAAACTTTCCACCAACAGTAAAATAGTAAACATAATGTTTAAGTGCAACTGAACCTTCTGATCTTTCTTCTTTAGCAACTAATGTACCATCCCCATTCTCTTTTATATCTTTTTTATTGACCTCTTTGTTTGCAGTGGTATCTTTGGTTTCCTCATAGAGCTGTTCTTGTTGGTCATGTGCAAATTGAATAGTCTTCATCAATTTAATAAACTCGGATTTTTCATATGTCTCTGATGTTGTATCCATATTCTGATATTTATTTGATAATAAACTATATGGGCCATTATCTTGAACTTCGCCATCTTTCATTACGAGTACCTGGGTTGAATGAGAAATATAATTTAATTGGTTGGTTGCAAAAATAACAACCTTGCTTTTGAGTGCACCTTTTATACATTTGTAAAATATATGACGACTTGTTTGGACATCAACTGCTGAAAGCACATCATCTAAAACATATATATCTCTATCTGAATAGATTGCTCTAGCTAAGGAAACTCTTTGTTTTTGACCACCTGATAAATTTATACCACGCTCACCAATTTCGACCAAATCTCCATTTGGAAATGTTTCGATGTCTGGGACCAATGCACAAATATCTAAAATGGATTCGTACTTCTCTTTTTCATATGGTAAACCAAACAAAATGTTATCACGAAGAGTTGCATTCATTATCCATGCTTGTTGTGAAGAGTAAGCAATTGACCCATTTACCTTAACTATTGATAAACTTGATTTAATAAGTGACATTTCGCCTAGAATAGCTTGGAGTAGAGATGATTTACCACTGCCTACACTTCCAATAATCATAGCTAAACAACCATTACCTGTGACCTCGATATTTATATTTGAAAGAGTAAAAGAGCTGGTGGCCAAATTTGGTGAAGACAATGAATCTAATTTAATAAGACCCTGGGATACCTCCTCCTCTATTTCAACAGTTTCTTCTTTTTCTTTTTTTAAATCCCAAGAGAATGAGGAGTTTCTAATCACAACACCATATGGACTATTTGGATTATTTTCACTTATGATATGGCTAGTATCAATCTCTGGCATTAATAGAAACTCGGTAACACGGTCGATTGATATTTTAAATTGAATATAAAGCGACATTACATATGCCAAGAAGGTAAATGGAACTCTAAAGATATTTAAATAGGCTATAGCAGGAAATATTTTTTCGGCAGGTAAATCTTTATGAACAGCATAATAAATACAGAATACGGCAATATTGACAATAATAGGAATGGCACTAGTCGAAGCAATTAGTCTATTACGGTAACGAACAAAGTCTAGGAGGAACTTAATCTCACCTTCTCTTTCTTTGATTGCCTTTTGTGCAAAGCTATCTTCCCAACAATAGTACTTGATAACCTTGATAGCTTGAAATATTTCATTTGTAACTTTTGCACGTCTGTCTGTATATTTGATTAGCTCCCTTCTGATTTCTGCAATTGTATTACCACCCATTTGGTTAAATGGATAAGTTAATATCATGATGCCCAAAGCAACGAAACTAACCCAACCAATGTAGACATACAGTAACCCAATAGACACTATAAGTAAAGGTAAACTAAAAATGGCGGTATTGACCAAACTAAATATATCCAATAATCTTTGTGCATCGTTGCTCATTAAATTTACAATTTCCCCATTGCTCTTTTTTCCTCTTGAGGAATTTGATAACCTTAATGATTTTTTGTAGATAAATAAACAAAGAATTGATTTTAACTATTTTATATAAAGTGCATATGATAAAAACATTAGTAGAAAATATTTAAAAAAATAAATTATTAATTATTAAAAATAAATGATTTAATAAAAAAAAAACCTCTTTTGCTATTTAATCATTTTTAAATTATAATTATTATTTTGTTAAATATATTTTACTAAATATTAATTATTTTATGTAGAAAAATAACCGTTAAAAAAGTAAAAATTGAAATGTTATTTACACAATAAAGTAAAAACTTACTCTCTCTCCGGTCCTTGATGATATCATATTGGATTGACAATTGCATATGGAACCAACCATTAAACAGGCAAACATAATAATTGGGTAATATATATAACCATAGTTATTACTGCCATCTGATGATATTGATGATGATGATGATGATCTTATTTCAATAATATTTTGTATTATCTTCCCAAGAATTACTGGTGATATAAATTGAGTGATGGTGGAAATTGCATAATGGATCCAACTTAGTGCGAAATAACCCCCAAATGATCTAAACAAGGCTCTATAAAAAGATGGATTAGCTTGTTTTAACTCTTTGCTCCAGTGCTTCTCCATAACCCTTGTTAGATACTCTGATTTATCATAACTTGCTAAATCTGGCAAGTCCTCAATTTGTAAAATGTTTTTATAGCAATATATTATAATCCTATTTGCCCAATGAAAAGTTAATCTAGATAAAAAATTTGAATTTTCCTCAAACGATTTTTTGTCTTTAAAACCATTATTTAAATTTAAATATTTATTGTCCTCCATTATTAATTTTTATTATAAACAAATTGTTTTTAATTAGTAATAAAGGTTGGATAAATATGTTATAAATTTTATAAAAACTATAAAAAAACTAAAAAAATAAATGAAAATTTTTTTTTTTTTTTTTTTCTTATGTTTGTCTTTTTTTTATAAATTAAATAAAAAAAATAAATTTAAAAAATAATTTTTTTTTTTTGTTTTTTTCTCAGTTTTTTTTTGGACGATTTTATTCCAAAAATGATTTATAAAAAAGACGGTTGTGCCACATAAAAGAAACCTAGGTTATTTTTTATAAAAAAAAAAAGAAATAATTTTACGGGTCCCGTTATTAAATTTAATTATTAATTTACTAATATTATTAAATATTGTGATTAAAAATTATCCTTATCATTTATCGTTTTTGGATCATCTGGAAGGTTTTTATAATTTTAAGAAAAAATGATTATTGTTAATATTGTTCGGAATGAAAAAAAAAAAAAACGAAAGATTGTAAAAAAAAAACAATAATTTGACCTTTTGTATTGGTTGAGGTTTTTATAAATTAAAATATTATTAGAAGTGATTTTTTTTTTTATTTAGTTTTTATATTTCTAAATTTTATTCTTAAATTGTTTGTTAACTTCACTTTCCGAAAAATTGGCAACTAATATTATGGTGCTATTTTTCACTTGTGTTTATGCTTATATTAGCACCTCTTTATTTCGTGCATCGCCATTAATCTAAAAATATAAAAAAATATAATAATAATTAATTTACAATAGAAACTAAAAAAATGATCTTTTTTTTAAAAATTTTTTATTTTTTATAGATTTTTTTTATTTTTTTATTTTTTATATTAATATTTTGAAAATGATGATCCTAAATTTAACCAAAGTTGATACCTTGGGCTAATGGGAGTGAATCTGAATAGTTAATAGTACAGGTACTTCTTCTCATGTATTGTTTCCATGAATCTGAACCTGATTCACGACCACCACCGGTTTCTTTTTCACCACCGAAAGCACCACCAATTTCAGCACCTGAGGTACCAACATTAACGTTGACAATACCACAATCTGAACCAGTTGGGCCTAACCATTTGAAGACGTTGTTATGGGTGTTGGTGAAAATTGAGGATGAAAGACCTTGTGGGACTTCGTTGTTCCAAGCCATGGCATCATCAATGTTTTTGAATTTCATAACATAGAGAATTGGAACGAATAATTCGGTTTTAACGATTGGAGCATCGTGGTTGATTTCAACGATGGTTGGTTCAACAAAGTTACCACCTTCGATGACATTGATTTTGTTACCACCTTGGATGATTTTACCACCTTGTTTCTTGATTTCTTCAAGACCTTCGAGGTATTCCTTGACGGCACCTTGGGTGTGGAGTGGACCAACTAAAACACCTTCTTCTAATGGGTTACCAATTTTAACTGATTGGTAGGCTTTCTTTAAACGATCGACAACGGCATCATAGTGTTTTTCGTGGATGAATAAACGACGACAGGTAGTACAACGTTGACCACAGGTACCAACTGAGGCAAAGAGAACGGCACGAACAGCAAGATCAATGTTGGCATCTTCAGCAACGATAACGGCATTGTTACCACCTAATTCGAGGATGGTTCTACCAAAGTAACCATGGACAACTGATGAGATACGACGACCGACTTCAGTTGAACCAGTGAATGAAATTAAACCGAAACGTTTATCTTGGATCATTTGTTCACCAACAGTACGACCTGGACCAATGATGGTGCTGCAAATAGCTGGATCAACATCGTTAGCAGTTAAAACATCAGCAATAATTTTGGTGATTGCAAGGGTGATAAGTGAGGTAGTTGAAGCACCTTTCCATAATTGAACATTACCACAGATCATTGAAATGGCAGCATTCCAACCAAGGACGGCACATGGGAAATTGAAGGCAGTGATGATACCGACTAAACCTAATGGATTCCAACATTCTAATAAAACGTGACCTGGACGTTCTGATGGGATAACTTGACCGTTGATGGTTCTTGATAAACCGGTGGCATAATCGCAGACATCAATAAATTCTTGAACTTCACCTTTGGCTTCAATAAAAATTTTACCCATTTCTAATGAAATTAATTTGGATAATGGAACTAATTTATCTCTGATGGCGTTACCAATTAATCTAACAATTTCACCTCTTCTTGGAGCTGGGGTCTAAAAATTTTAAAAAAATTAATATTAATATTTAATTCGAATTTTTATTTTTTTCTTTTTTGATCACTTACTAAAGCCCATTTGTCTTTGGCAGCTAACATAGCTTGGACACATTCTTCATATTCTTCTGGAGTGGCCTAATAGATATTTATGAAAAAAAAATACACATATTAATTTTCATTTTTCTTTTATATTAAATTATTTTCATATGAAATTTTATATTAAATTTCTTTTTTTTTTTTTTTTTTTTTAAATTTTTTATTTTTAAAGAAAAAACATTTAATGATAAACAAATAAACAAATCATAATACTTACACCTCTGACAGTGGCAATAACTTTACCAGTGGTTGGGTTGTGGCATTTAATGAGATCACCTTTACCGCCCCATTTACCATTGAAAACACCAGCATTTTCTTCTTTGAGACCAAGCTCAGCAAGGAATGGATATTCTGAAAAAGTAGTCATGTTTTTTTTTTTTTATAAAAATATATATTTAAATAAAATATAAGATTTTATATATATTCGAAACAAAGAAAAATATAAATGAAAAAGAAATTTAAAAAAAAAAAAAATATATGGGGAAAAATAAAATTTTAAAAAAAAAAAATAAAAAAAATTTAAAAAAAATAAAAAAAAAATTAAAAAAATGAAATTTTTATTTTTTTTAATTATTGAAATAAATTTTATTGAAATCACTAAAAAATATTTTTTTTTTTTTTTTATTTTTTTTTTTTTTTTTTATTTATTTTAATTTATTTTTTTTTTTATTTATTTTATTATTTTTACACTTTCAAAATCTAAAAAACTAAAAAAAAATAAAAACAAATAGTTAATTAAGTTATAATTACCAAAAAATAAAAAGAAAAAGAAAAAAAAAGAAAAAGAAAAAGAAAAAAAAAACCCCCATTACTAATCAAAAAAAAAAAATAAAAAAAATTTATTTATTTTACTTATAATATATATATATTAAATAGATTATCAAATATATTACAATTTAAAATTGTATTTAAACATATCTTTAAAAAAATGATATGATGTAAAAAATTATAAAATAAAAAACAAAATTAAATAATAAATTAAAATTAAAAATAAAAACTAAAAAAAAAAAAAATAAAAAAAATTTTATTTTTTCGTTTTTTTTTTTTTTTTTTTTTTTTTTTTTTTTATATTTTATAATATTCGGTTGTATATTTGTATAAAAAGAAAATGGTAAATAAATAAATAAAATTAATAATATAAATATAAATAATAATATTAATTAATTGTTTGTTTGTTTGTTTTATTTTTTTTTCAATTAATTTTTATTTTAGAAAATTAAAGTTATCTCAAGATCAGAAGAAGAGGAAACTAAAGAAAAAGCATCAGATGTTAGAAAATTACATAGAAATTTAGATCCAAATTTACATCCATTCGAAAGACCTAGAGAGTATGTTAGAGCACTTAATGCAACTAAATTAGATAGAGTTTTTGCAAAACCATTTGTTGCAAGTTTATCAGGTCACAGTGATGGTATTTTTACAATGACAAGACATCCAAATCAATTAAATTGTGTAGCATCAGGCAGTTGTGATGGTGTTATTAAACTTTGGAATCTTACATCATTTACAGAGAGAACCACAATTCAATCACACGAGGGTTTTGTACGTGGTATCACATTTACACCAGATGGCAAATATGTTATCAGTTGTGGTGAAGATAAAACAGTTAAGATGTGGAAATTGGATATGCCAGAGTTTACATTCAACGAGGATATAGTGTCATCATTCAATGGTAAAAATGCATTTACATCAATCGATCATCAACGTAATAGTAGTACATTTGCAACATCAGGTGTCAATGTAGAGATTTGGAAGCATCAAAGATCAACACCATTCCAAACATTGTCCTGGGGTTATGGTACCATTACAAAAGTTAAATTCAATCCAATCGAAACCGATTTATTAGCAAGTTGTACAACTGACCGTGATGTCATTCTTTATGATATTCGTCAAAATTCACCAGCTCAAAAATTAACAACCACAATGAGAAATAATGCATTAGCATGGAATCCAACAGAATCATTCACTTTAGCTATAGGTAACGAAGATGAAAATGTTTATCAATACGATATTAGAAAATTAGATAAGGCAATGACAGTTCATAGAGATCATGTTGGTGCTGTTTTAGATGTCGATTATTCACCAACTGGTCGTGAAATCGTATCGGGTGGTCTCGATAAGACTATTCGTATTTTCCCAGTAGACTCATTCAAGAGTCGTGAAGTTTACTTTACAAATAGAATGCAAAGAATTTTTTCAGTACTTTACACCGCAGACAGTAGATTCATTTTATCTGGTAGTGACGATATGAATATAAGAGTATGGAAAGCCCAAAGCTCTGCTCCAATGGGTATTCTTTCAAATAGAGAAAAAGAGAAATTAGAATATCAAGATAAAATCAAAGAGAAATTCAAAGAAATTCCAGAACTTAAAACTATTTCAACTCATCGTAGAGTACCAAAATTAGTATATAAAAAGAGATTTATAAAGAACGAAATCCACAAATCAAATATGAGAAAGATAAAGAATGTTGCCGAAAATTCTGGTCAAGTTGTAAAAGTACCAAAAGTTTTATCAAAACATACTGTAAAGGTGGATAAATAAAATTTTTTGATTTTTTTATATATACATTAAAAAAAAAAAAAAGAAAAAACTTTCTTTACTTTTATTTTTTATTATTGATTTATTAAGTGTACAAAATTGTGATGTTATTTTATTTTAAAAGTTAAAGTTAAAAAATATGTTAATTATTTATTATTATTATTTATTATTATTTAAATAATAATTAATTTATTGTATTGTTTATTGTCACTATTATTTTCTATAAACTTTTAATAATTCATTTCTATATTTTTGTTTAACACGAAATTTTAATTCTACAAAGGTATTTTGTTTCCAATAAAAGTTTTTGATTGTGGCCACTGTAAAACTTGGTTTCATTTCTTCGCCCTGTAAAAAAAATTCGAAATAACCATCTGGAGGTGGAGGTTTGGTATCGAAAAGTGCGGATACCTTGTTCCAAATGTAGTTGGAGATGCCTTTTACTTGGAAATAATATGGAACTTGTAATTGTTCATAGCTAAATTTAAAGTCGTCATCGATTCCATCCAGTTTAAAATCTATGTATGAAATATTTCCTTTATTTTGAAATTCTGATGATGTTAGGCATTTTGATAGCCAATCTATCATACTTAAATTTTCTTTACCTGTAAATTCATCGACTTTTGATCTATATAATACAAGAGAGTTGGTTTCATCATATACTACAACATCTGTATTCTTGGGTAAAGGAAATATTTTAACATTATCCATGTTTAATATTAATTGTTGGCTTTGTCTTTGTTGGCTTTGTCTTGTTGTTGTTGGTGGTTGTGGGGGCGGTTGGTTATCTTGATTATCGGTACTGTTACTATTTGAACTTGTTAAGCTATTTACACTATCATTGGAGTCTCGTAATCTCTCTTTTTTTTGATATAGGTTGTATCTTTCAACTCTCCATTTTGAAAATAAGGTGTGTAGCATACTAACACCTATATTGGTCAAAAAGTCCTTATTTTCAATAAATCCTAAATTACTAATTAAGGCAAGGGCATTGAAGCAAATTGATGATTCTAAAGTAATATTTAAGCAGCCAGTTTTGGTATCGACTTCAAACCATTTTGGAATTGATATTTTTTCATTTATTTCTAAAAGTTTCTTATCAAAATCTACTTTGCCAAATGTTTCTATCTCTTTACCAAGTGTGATATCCCAAAGTTGGACATTGTTTTCGTTATCTCTTGTTAAAATTTGTCTTCTATTGTTTAAAATTTGATGCTTTATAATACCACTTCTGCCTTGAATGGTTATATTTGGCTGTAATGTTAAATTGTTACTGATGCTATTGCTATTGCTACTTGTTGTGTTACTATTATCATCATCATTGTTATTTTGTAATAAAATTGAGTTGTTGGCTATTTCATCTTCTTCTTCTTTTATATTTATTGATTGTAATAAATAGCTATTGTTTTTATCGTAATGGTTTAATAAACTGTAGTTTTTGATATTTGAGTTTGAGGTTGATACCCAAATTGACCGAGTATCAGGATTATTTAATATTTTTAATATTGGATCTTTTTCTTTAGCAATGGGTTTTGATTGGTTGGTTTTTAAATCTGTTAAGAATATCATACCATCACGACCACCACTAAAGAAGTGACTAAAGCTGGGTGATGCAGCTAACGACCAAACAGAGTCGGTATGAATATCATCAAATATTTGAATACATCTACGTTCACCAATATCCCAAAGTCTAACGGTGCCATCACTACTTGAAGATAAACAACGTGTTGAATTTTGATTTAAAATTATAGATCTAATATTATCGGTATGTCCTTTTAGTTTGAATACTTTTTGACCACTTCTAGCATCCCAGCCTCTGATTGCTCTTTCAGTAGAACCAGACAATACAAATGATGAATCATGTGAAATCGCTAAGCTATAAATTGAAATACCTTCACCCCCAGATTTTCCATATAGATATGATTTATTATTTGCACTGTTTAAATAGTTTACATTGTTGTTCATATTACTAGTTAGTGATGATGGTGGTGTAAATTCATCGATATTGTCCATTTCATTAATATTATTGTTATTATTTATTGAAAATGTTTGTACCATTGAGCATGTATTTAAATCCCAAATATTAATATGTGAATCTAAGCCTGATGATGCAAAATGTTTCGATCCCTGTGAATAGGCTAAAACTTTGACATAGTCGTCATGAAATTTGAAGCTACGTATATTTTTTTCATTTTCTGTGTCCCAAATCTTTATAGTTGAATCTGATGAGCATGAAACCACTAAAAACAAAAAAATAATAAAAGTGTTAATTTAATTTTTTGGGATTATTTTGGATGGTTTTATACTTACTTATACCATCTTCATCTCTTAAAAACAAATCATTAACCCAATCGGTGTGGTCTTCATATGATTTTTTAAATTTATATTTGTCAGTTTCGCTTTCGTTATCATTTTCTTCAATATCATTGTTATCACTGCCCAATAAAATATCTTCATGGCTACTATTGCTATCCATATCGTTGTCATTATTGCTATTATTATTATTATTATTATTATTATTATTATTATTATTATTATTATTATTATTATTATTATTATTACTGTTTGCTTTGTCATAAATATAGTATGATTTTATAGTTGAATCTCTACCAGCTGAATATAAAATATCTTTTTTTAAAATCATATGCTAAACTGTTTATACCAAAACAATGTTTATCTTCAAAACTTTGATTATCTTTGGTGTTTTTGATTGAAAAACTAACTTTATATTTTGATGGTTTCTTTTTTACAAATATGTTGTTTGAATTTATTATAACATTGTTATTATTAACATTTAATGTTGGTGAGTTCGAATAGCTATCAGTTTGGTTTATTGTCGATGACGATGTATATGGTGATGTTGTTGATGATTCATATCCATATCTTCCACTATTGCCACTTAAAAAACCACTGTGTCTATTTATACTATTTAAATTAATACGACTGTTTTTATTGTTACTTGGTATTGGTGTGGATGGTGAACATGAATTCATATTAACTCCTGTGTTTTGATTGTTTTCTAAGTGTAAATTTTTAGTTCTATTTGTGGAATAGTATTTATCCATGGAACAAATTAATAGAAAAAAAAATAAAAAAAAATAAAAAAAATAGAATTGTTTATTTACAAAAAAATTTTAATTAAAAAAAAAAAAAAAGATTGTTAATATTGTTATTGTTGAAACTATTATTATATTTTATTTATTACTATTAATTATAATTATTACTATTTAATAAACTAAATTTAGGTAATATTATTATTTTGTGAGTTGATATAAGAAACAATATTAATATTATTTAATAAATTTAGTTTTAAAGTATAAGCAATTTTATGATTACTATTAGATAATATGAAAAAAGAGATAGTAATAAAAAAATATATTATTGTAATAAATAAATTAAAAAAAAAAAAAAAAAAAAGAAATTTAAAAAAAAAAAATTAAAAAAAAATAAAAAAATAATTTTTATTATTTTTAAAAAAAAATTAAATTAAATTTAATTTTTAAAAAATAAGTATATTTAAGTTTAAACATTCTCTATTTAATTTATTAAATAATAGAAAATGGCAATGATTTACTTAAAAAATTTTAAAAAAAAAAAAAAAAGAAAAAACAAAAAAGAGGCAATTTCCAAAAAAGATCAAAAACATACCCTTCATAAAATTTCAAATTATGGTAATTATTTTAGTAATCTGTTATCATTGGATAACTGTGTGTTTAAAAAACCATATTTAGAGTTTTATTTAACAAAGGGTATTATTATATTTTCTTTATTATTTTTTTTGACACACAAACAAATATTAATAAATAAATTTTTTTTAAAATTATAAAAAAAAAAAATTAAAATTTTTTTTTATTTTTTTTTTTTATTTTTTTCAATTTTTTTAAATATTATCATATATTTTCATTTATTTATATTTTGATTAAACTAGTATAAAAAAACTAAAAATAACAATAAAAATAATAATAACAATAAAAATAATAATAAGATTATATATAAAACAACCAATATAAAGTAGAAATAAATAAACAAACCTACATATTATACACTCACTCTACACAACACACTATCGCACTACACATTCTACTTTTAACGCGATATATATAAATTTAATATTAAAAGCACACACTACACATAAAACTAGAAAAAAAAGTTATATATATAAATTTTATTTTTGTTTTTTATTTTTTTTATTTATTTTTTTTTATTTTAATTTTTTAATTTCTTTTTTTAATAGACAAGTTGGATCCTTTTTATTATTTTTTTTTTTTACATTAATAAATAATAAATCATAACAAATAATAATATCATGTTATAAGGCAAATAATTATATCATAATAAATAATAATAATAAGGATAAAATAATAAATAATTAATAGTCGTGTATATATTGTATAATAAAAGAAAGAAAGAAAGAAAGAAAGAAAGAAAGAGAATAATAAAATAAATAAAAATGGAGTCAGCTAATAGTAATAATAATAATAATAATAATAATATAAGTAGCAGAAGAAGCGAAGCACCAATTATTAAATTAAGTATAGATCTTATTAAAACTTATAAAAATATAAATCAAGTGTATTATGCGTCAAAAGCAAAAAAAAATAAAGCGGCACTTCAACAACAACAACAACTACAGCAGCAGCAGCAGCAACAGCAGCAACAGCTACAGCAACAACAACAGCAACAACAGCAACAACAGCAACAACAACAGCAGCAACAACAACAACAGCAACAAGCTCAAACTAAAGTTGGAAATGGTGGTAAATTTAATGACGGTTATGACGATGAAAATGCAGATTATATTGTTAGAATTGGCGAAGTGTTTTTAGATAGATTCGAAATTCATTCAAGTTTGGGGAAAGGTTCGTTTGGTCAAGTGGTTAAAGCATATGATCGTTTACTTAATGAATACGTCGCAATAAAAATCATTAAAAATAAAGTACCATTTTATAATCAAGCATTAATAGAAATTAAATTGTTAGAGCTAATGAATAATAAAGATCCAGAGGATCAATATAAAATAAGTAAGTCAGTCATAATTGGATGTAGTTATATATCATTATAGCATATGACACTAATTTTTCGTTTTTTTTTTATTTTTTCATTTTTCATTTTTTTTCAAATTTTCATTTTTTTTAATAGTTAAATTAAAGCATCACTTTAAATTTAGAAATCATCTTTGTATAGTTACCGAATTATTATCATATAATCTTTATGATTTATTAAGAAATACCCATTTTCATGGTGTTTCATTAAATTTAATAAAGAAATTTGCCCACCAAATTTTAACAGCCTTATTTTTTATGTCAACTCCAGAAGTTGATGTTATACATTGCGATTTAAAAGTAAGTATAGACTCATAGATAGCCCTAATAACTATAGTAATAATAGTAATAATAACATTTAAATTTTTTATATTTTAGCCAGAAAATATTTTATTAAGGAATCCAAAAAGAAGTGCAATTAAAATTATTGATTTCGGTAGTTCATGTCATTCAAACGAAAGAATGTATAAATATATTCAAAGTAGATTCTACAGATCACCAGAGATTTTATTGGAATTGGATTATTCATTTTCTATTGATATGTGGAGTTTAGGTTGCATTTTGGTTGAAATGCATGTAGGTGAGCCACTGTTTTCAGGTCAAAACGAACAAGATCAACTAACTAAAATTATTGAAGTAATGGACTTACCACCAACCTACATGATAGAATCTAGCCCAAAAGCAAAGAAATTCTTTACAAAAGACCCAATAGATAATACATATCAATTGAAAAAATCTGAAAAATTAAAAAGTGATGTAAGTATCCCGTTTTTATAACTCTTTATGTAGATAGTTACTAATTTTATACAATTCATTTACAATCATTAGTTTTGCAAAAGGAAACTTTCAGAGATAATTGGAGTAGAGAGTGGTGGTCCTCAAGGTAGAAGAAAGAATGAACCAGGTCACTCGACATTAGATTATTTAAAATTTCAAGATTTAATTGAAAAAATGCTAATATATGATCCCCAAAAAAGAATTACACCTTTAGAAGCTTTACAACATCCATTCTTTTTAACTGATGAAACCCAGCCATCAACACCTTCCCAGCCAATCGCAACCACAACAACCACAACAACCATAGCAAGTCAAACTATTATACGACAACCCAATAATAACAACAATAATAATAATAATAATAATAATAATAATAATAATAATAATAATAATAATAATAATAATAATAATGGTGAAAATAATAGTAATAATAGTAATAGTTATTCACCTTTAAAAAAAAATGTGTCATCTTCACCATCAAACACATCTGTTACAAATAAAAATAGTAATAATAGTTATCAATCACCATCACAATCATACTCACCAACATATCATTCAAATTATAAATTAGTAGATCAAATGAAAAGGACTACAATGAAAGATAAATCACCTTTACAAACGTCACACAGTATTTCAGATATATTAAATACAGATAATAACAATATAAATGAAAATGATAGTAATGGAGATGATAACAATGAAAGAAATTATCATCACCATAGTCATAGCCATCATAATAATAATAATAATAATAATAATAATAATAATAATAATAATAATAATAATAATAATAGTAATAACAACGATGATAACAGTAATAATAATGAATATTCATCAAATAATAATATTGATATAAAATCAACTACAAAAATTAATTATCAATTAGAAAGTAAAAGCAATATTTTTAAAGCAAATGATTCATCATATCAAGAAACAACCAATTCATCAAGGCTAACTATAAATATTCCCTCTCACGCGCCAGTGCCCCCTTTAAAAAACCTTTTACCTCATCAACATAATAATAATAATAATTAACAATTTAAAAACAATATAAATAAAACTAATGATAAAAAAAAAACAAGCTTGATTGTGGAAATTTATAGCTTAATTTTATCATTTTAATAAAATATATTATTTATACACACAAATTTTTTTTTTTTTTTTTTTTTTTTTTTTTTTTTTTTTTTTTGTTTTTGGATTTTTTTTTTTGTTATTCATATTTATTTATTTTATTTATTTTATTTTTTAAAAACATCAATTTTATTATCCCAATGTTTTTGTTGAAGAATTGACCTCTATTAATACAAAAATTAGTAGATGCTGTTTTTTTTAATTGTTTTATGTTTGATTTGTAACAACATGTATATTTGGTAGTTGCCCCCCATTTAAACCCCACTATTACAAAATACAAAAAAAATGATAATGACAATGATCCATATTCATTATTTAACATCATTATAAATTGAAATATTGCAATTGACATTATTTATTTATTTTACACAAGTAATATAAATAATATTAAATTTAATTTTTTTATTTATTTTTAATAAATTTTAAAAAAGAAAAAAAAATAATTATGTATATAAATATCAAATTAAAAATTTAATATTAAATATCATTCTTTATTAATTTAAATTACTACAAGATATTTGTTTATTTTTTTAATACCATCTTTTAAAAAAATATTTAATTAATTTTTATTTTTTTTTTTTAAAAATAATTGAAAAAAAAAAAAAAAAAATGGAAAGACATCATAGTTTTTTTAAAAATCTTTTTGCGTTTTTATCCGTATTCCTACTAATATTAATAATGTCCACCGAAGAAATCAATGCAGAATCAACAGCTAGAGCTACCTTAGTTTATCCACAACACGCCCAATTAGGTGAAGGTTCAATTTGGTCAGTTGACAAACAAGCATTAATTTGGATTGATATTGAAGGAAGAAAATTATTTGTGTAAGTATAAACCCACATAAAATACATAGATGCATACAAATAATATTTTAGACAATAAAAAACTATTATAAAACAACTTATAATATTATTATTTTTCTAATAAAATATTTATTTTTTTATATATAAATTTATTAATTTATTTTATAGCTATCATCCAAATGATAATACCAATCAAGCATTTGATTTACCAGAAAGACCAGGCACTGTTGTAGAAAGAACTAATGGAGAATTATTGGTTGCTGTTAAAGGTGGTATTAGAACATTCAATATCTACACAAAAGAATCAATGATTATAACCAACCCAGAAACCGAACCAACCAATAGATACAATGACGGAAAATGCGATCCACAAGGTAGATTTTGGATAGGCTCCATGAGCTTAAAGAGTGGTGAACCAGCAGTTGCCTCTTTATATAGAGTCAACCACGATTTATCAAGCGAACGTATACTTAGTGGCATTAAAATTAGCAATGGTTTAGTATGGAGCTTAGATCAAAAGAAATTCTACTACATTGATACACCAACTATGGGTGTTGATGAATTTGACTATGATGCTCATAGCGGTTCCATTTCAAATCGTAAAAGATGTATTTCATTCACCGGTCAAGATGGTTTCCCAGATGGTATGACTATTGATGCCGAAGGTAAACTTTGGATTGCACATTGGGATGGCGGTAGAGTAACAAGATGGGATCCAAACACTAAACAACGTATCTTTACCGTTACTGTTCCAAATGTTTCAAAAGTAACCTCTGTTGCCTTTGGTGATTACGATTTACAAACTCTTTATATTACAACCGCTAGAGATGGTGGTCAACCTGACTCTGGTTCATTATTTAAATATAGATTTACAAATGGTATTAAAGGTATTCCTGCCTATAAATTCCGTGGTTAATCAAACAAACCAATTCTCTTTCTTTTGTAAATTTTTTAAATACACATAACCAAAAATAAAATAAATTTTATCTCTTTATCATTATTAAAATATTATAATACACCAAAAATAAAATTATTTAAAAATAAAATACTAAAAATAAAACTATTTAAAAATAAAAATATATTGATTGATAAGTTTATTTTTAGAAATCAAAAAATGTGGGGTGTTTATATATTGTTTGGGGGTTTAATAAAAAAATATTTAAAAAAAAAAAAAAAAAAAAAAAAAAAAAAAAAAAAAATTTTTTTATTTTTTTTAAATTTTTTTTATTTTATTTGCTCAGTATTATTAAAAATCCTTTATAATAACTATACATTATAATAACTATAATTTAAATATTACTTTTATTTTACCAATAAAAGTAAATTTTAAATTAATGCATGTCATTTAGAGATAGTACAAGACCTGATACTAGGGCTTTAACCGATGGTTCATTATTTCATGGTTATTTTCACAATTATGGGAGTAAGTTAATTCTAACGTTAATATACAATAACGATAATTATAATAATAATATATATTACGTTTTATATCTTGAATATAAAATAATTATAGTAACAATATATATTAATTTTTAATTCTATTTATTATTATCCTTAGATATTTGGTTAGCCATTACATTTTGGTGCACAGTTGCATTAACAATATCATATATTATATCAGGATTTGTAGCATCATTTATATTAAAAAAATCAAAGATATCTCCATTCATTCCAATTTTTACTGGAATGTATGGTATGGCTGTTGGTATTTGCTATGGTGGTTTATCCGCACTTATATTAAGTGCTATTTATGTTTCTGGAAGCTTCCTTTTATCGTGGTATCAAGGCATTATTTGTGGATTTAGTTTAGCATTAATACATTTAATATTTGCGTTTACACAAAAAACATTACAAATTTAGATATAAATAAAAAAATACAGTTTATTATCTTTTTAAAAAAAATATAATAAACTATAAATTTTGTGCAGTATTATAAAAACTATAAAACTATATTATTTTTTTTTTTTAAATTTTTTTTTTATTTTTATTTATTTATTTTTTTTTTATTTTTATTTTAGAAAAAAGAGAAAGAGGAAAAGGTGGGGATTTTCTTGAGTTTGGTTTAATAACTCATTTGATACGTTTGGTTTGGATTGTTTGATTGATTGATGATTTTTTTTTTTTTTTTTTTTCGTTTTTTTTTTTTTTTTTATTTGTTTTGAAAAAATAAATTAAAAAAAAAAAAAAGATATTATTATTATATTATATATTATAAATTGTTTAAACTAATAAAACAGCATTAATACAACCATCATTTTCTGGATTATTTGTAACTTGAGCCATTTTACCCCAAACAACTTTACCAGATTGGGTAACTAAACCTAAATCACTAACATTGACTTCAATAACAGTACCTTTGGTAATAACACCTAATTGAGTATAAGTTGGTGATTGTGGATTCTTTTTAACTGATAAAATATCTAAATAGAAAGTTGATTTTAATTCTGGATGGGTGACATGTGCTTTCTTGAAACGTAAACCAGTTGGACGAATGAAACGTTCATACTTGGGTGGTTTACGAGTGAAACTTTCACCAACAAAAGTAACTTTAGTAACTAAACGTTTCCATGCTTTCTTTTGACGTTTACCAGTCTTAATAACTTTAAACATTTCATTTTCACTAATTGCTCTAACCTTTGGTAATGGAACATCCCATTTACCTGCTTTTTCTTTTCTTTTTTGTTTGACCATATTACTGAGTACTTTAGCTCTACTAACATTTTCTCTGTCAAGAAGATAAGCTGGAACAGCACCTTCTTTAACCTTATTATCTGCTGCTTTCTTGTTATTTCTTTCTTGATGCATAGCAATAGTTTTCTTCATTTCTGCTTTTTCAGCATAACGTTTCTTATTAAGTAATTTGGCTTTAAGACCAAATACTTTTTGAGCTATAGCTGATCTCTTGTGTACTTCACGAGCTTGCTTCTTACGTCTATATTTTTTTTAAAAAAAAGATATTAATATTATTATTACTATTAAAAATATTGCAAAAATGTTTTATTAAGGTATATTTACACTTTTTCATAATGATCTAAACGTCTACCAAATCTCTTTTGGTGCAATTCAATATGATCACCTTGAGGCATTTTGATTTATATATATATAAGAGGTAAGTGTGTTGTTGGTTTTTTGATGATTTAGCTTTTACAAAAACTGAGTATATTTGTTTCTTAAATTTATTATTTTTATAATAATTTTAAAATTGTGTGGTGTGGGTGATTCTTTTTTATAATATTTAAATAATCCAATTAATTTATTTAATATTGATATATACAGATAAATTGATTTAAATAAATAATTATTATCGTTTATAAAAAGAGTAATCTCACAAACGGATTGAAAAAAAAAAAAAGAAAATTTTAAAAATTAAAAAAAAAATTAAAAAAAAAAAAAAAATATTCTTCGGTTTTTTTAAAAATAATAATAATTTTTAATTTTTTTTTTTTTTTAAATATTTAATTTTTTTTTTTTTAAAATATTATTTTTTTTTTTATCTATTTTTTCTCTTATTTTTTTTATTTAAAGCTTCAAAAAGAATTTTTTATTTTTTTTTATTTTTTTCAATAGTAATTAAATTGGAGTAAAACCAATAGTAATAATAATAATTTAAATAATTAATAATCATAATTTTTTTTGTAAATAATTAAAAAAAAAAAGACACAATTTAAATTTTTTTAAAAAAAAAAACGAAAATTAAAGAATGGAAGATAAAATTATATTTACATGTATCAGTTGTAGAATTCAATTCGAACACAGCGAAGATCAGAGAGAACATTATAAATCTGAATTACATAGATTCAATTTAAAGAGAAAAGCATTCGATTTACCACCAGTCAATGAACAAACATTTAAATCAAAAGTTGAAGCATTAAAACAAGAACAAAATAAAAAAACAACTCCAGAGAAATTTGAATGTAGAATATGTGATAAAGAATTTGCCTCAGATGGCCCATATCAACAACATTTATCAAGTAAAAAACATAAAGAAGCTGTTGCATCCGGTAAAACTGAAGTAGTTAGAAATAGAAAACCAAAAGAAGAAAAGAAATTACCAGAAACTTTAGAAGAAGCTGAAGCTATGATGGAAGAAAAAATTAAAAATGCTGTTAAATTACCAATCGAAAATTGTTTATTCTGTAATCATTTAAGTAAAACTTTAGAAGAGTAGGTTTATTTAGTTTTCTTTTCTTTTTATTAATTACCTATTGTATAGATTACTAATTAATATTATTATTATTTTAACAATTCTATAGTAATATTAGTCATATGGCTAAAGAACATAGTTTCTTTATTCCAGATATTGAATATTTAGTTGATTTACCAGGTTTTGTTCGTTATCTTAGTGATAAAGTTGCAATTGGTAATGTTTGTTTATATTGTAATGGTAAAGGTAAAATTTTACAAAGTAAAGATGCAACTCAAACCCATATGAGAGATTTAGGACATTGCAAGATCAATACTGATACTGAAGAAAATGAAGATGAATACGTCGAATTCTATGACTATAGCAAAGGTAAAGAAGGTGAAGGTAGCGAACTCGTCGCATTCAATCCAGATATTCTTGTTTCAAGTCACGAAATTACATTTGCCGATGGCACTACCATTGGTCATCGTGATTATGCCGTATACTATAAACAAAAATATAGCCCCGTCGACAAAAGAACCGAATTTTATCGTAATATTATTGGTGAATATAAACAATTAGGTTGGACTTCAACTCCAATTTCCAACTACGAATTACAAAAGAAAGAACAACATCGTGAAAAGATTATGTTATTAAAGGTTGGAATGAAAAAGAATACCCAACGTTATTACAAGAATCAACTTTTGGTCCAATAAACATATTATTATTATTTACATATATAAATTAAACTATATTATTACTTTTTTTTTTTTTTTTTTTTTTCTCTTTTTTTTTCTTATTTTTTTTAAAAAAGAATTTTATTTATTTACATTTTTGTTATATAATATATATAATTTAATAAATTTTATTTTATTTTGGTAATGGATTGTGCACTTGGATTGGAGTTGATCTGGGATGATTCTTGTTGCAACTATATTGTCATCTAAAGTTTTAAAATTTATAAAGTGTTGATTTTTTCGTCATATTGCTTTAAAGTCCATGTTTTTAATTGAACAGCGTGAATATCAGCCATGAAATCTTTAATAAGATCATTAACAATTCTTTGTCTATCGAGTAATGAAACACCATCGAATTGGTTTGATCCAATAGCGATTAAAAACTTTGCGCCACATCCACCTGATAAATCATCTACTCTCTTTTATTATGATAATAGTTTTACAAATTAGTATTTTCTTTTTTTTTTTGATAAATTATAATTTTTATTATTTAATATGATACATACAATTTTATCATCTGCAGAGTTATATTTAGTTTTTAAACGAGTTTCTAAATCTGATACTGTAACCATTTTATAATTTATATTTAAAATAAAATAAAAGAAAAGAAAAAAAAAAAAAAAAAAATAAAAGAAAATTTAAAAATTAAAAAAAAAAAATGAAATAAATTTAAAAAAAAATAAAAAATAAAAAATAAAAAAAATAGGTTTTAATATGTGATTTATAAAATTTAATAAATTATTTGTATTGGAATTAAATATTTGAAACCATTTTCTATTATGGTGGGTTGTGTATTTGATCAATTTAAGAATAACAAAAAAATGAAAATGTGGGTATGATGTTTTTGAAAATTTTAAATATTAAATGATTTTATTTAAGTGTGTTTAATCATGAGAATATCAACTATTTGACCAAGATTCTTACCTAATTTGAAAAAATCAGCATTTTGTAAACCAACAAATATTTCAGTTAAATTATGGAGAACACCACCAGAGTTGACAAAAATATTAAAAGCATCTCTAAGAATAAAAGTAACAATACCAGATGGACCGGAGATAAATGAGGCAGCAATGTATGTAATTTGAACAATTTTATCACTAATACCACATTCTTTTAAGTTAGTTGGTATTTGTAATATAACACCACCAATTTTAACAATACCAGATGACATTTTTGGAATATCAATAGTGGATAAACCTTTTTGAAGTGCCAAAACACCATCTTTCAAATCAGCAACAGACCCATTTTCATTTTTAAAACAAAGACTTTCTTCATTTGTGATATTAATTCCAATACCTTCAATAAAACCTAACAAAAATTGTGAATAATCTGTTAAACTTGGTAAACCATTTTCAATAATGTTTTCTTGAATTAATTTATTATATTCCAAATCATTACTAAAATCATTAAAATTAAATTCTTCTATTTCATTATCAATATTATTATTTGAATAGGCTGATTTAAAATTTAAAGATAAAACTATAAAAACTATTAAAAGAATATATTTCATTTTTTATATTGTAATAAATAAATAATTTGCAATGAATATTTTATAATAAAAATAAAAAAATTGATTTATTAATAGTTAAATTAATTAAAAAAATAATTATACACATATTTATAAAATATTGTTCCATATATGTATCGGGATGTGAGTGTTTGAAAATCTAAAAAAGATATTTTTACTATTTTATGAAAAAAACATGTTATGATAAATTAGGGATTATAATTAGTCTTAGCATGACAAAAAAGTTATTTTACCCCGCTACAGCCCTCACCTACTCACCTACCCAAATATTTAATTTTTTTAAACCTTAGAAAAAAAAAAAAAAAAAAAAAAAAAAAAAAAAAAAAAAAAAAAAAAAAAAAAAAAAAAAAAAAAAAAAAAAAATTTATTAAAAAAAATTGATATAAAAAAAAAAAAACAAAAAAAATTGAAAAAATTGATATTAAAAAAAAAAATTAAGTGTATTATTTTTATTTATATATTTTATTTGTGAATTATTCATTCCATTTTAAATATATAATAATCATTAAAGACAGGGTTTTTTAACAATATCTCCCTTGAAACATTGCCCTTCTCTTAACAAAAATACACTTTTCTCACAGTGCAGGGTGTACATTATTATTTTCCTAATTATCTGTATGATTTCTTATCCAAAACTTATTTTAATTATATTTGAATTTCCTTATACATTGAAATATATGTGGTACTTTCTTTTTATCTTTTATATTCATTTGAGTTAAAGGATCATCTAGATTGCATTCCTTTTTTTGGTTTTTTATTTATCAATTAAAAATTTATTTAAACCTATTAAATATTTGAATATAAATTAATTCTTTAAACAAATATTATGAATACCGTTTCTATATCATGCCAAAGAAATTTTTTTTATTTTTAAAATTTAAAAATTGGGTTTTTTTACAAAGCTATTTTATAATAAAATGGAACAAGTAGATTCATCTGGATTAAAACCAAATAATCATCAAAATTTTTATTTTTTTTTCCCAAGATATTTCTCTTTTAAAATTTAAAAAAAAAAAAAATAAATTAAAATTTTAGCCACACAATAAAAAAAAAATATTTTTTAAAAAAAAAAAATTTATTTTTTAATTTCACAACAACAACAAGAATGGAACAACCAATCTTATCAAAATATTTACAAAAATATATAGTTGATATTATAATATCAAATATAAATAAAGAAAAAAAACAATTATCAAAAATCGTATTAAGAATATTTTTAAAAAATGAACCATTATCAGATATTGTTCAATTACAAAATGATTTTAAAGGTTTAGAGAAAGTTTGTTGGTATTGGTTTGAATTGGTTCGTAATGGATCAAATATTATATCATATGCACAATTAAATAATAATGGTAATGAAGATAGTAAATATTCAATCATTAAAAAAGAAAATATTAAATACCTTTATATAAGTAGAGATTTTTTTTATGAAGATATGGATGAAGATTATAATGGTAATGGTAATGATAATGAAGAACAGGAAGATGAAGATGAAGAAATAGAAGAAGATGAAGATGAAGAAGAAATGGAAGATGAAGATGAAGATTATGAAGAAATGGAAGAAGATGAAGAAGAAATGGAACATTATAATGATAATCATGAAGAAGGTAATGCCGATCCTATGATAAAACCAGTGATATTGAGAATCAAACATTCAATTTCAAAATATCCAAATTTAAAAAGAATAATTATAAACTTAAGTAGAGATCATATATATCAAGTTTTAAATGGTTTAAAAAAAGGAGACTTTGATAATAAAGGATCACAAACAATATCAAAAGCAATAACTGAAACAGAAACTAAAACACAACCACCATCACCAAGAAAAATTAAAATTTCAACTCCTTCTTTAGATTATACAAAAATAGTTTTATCAAATAGTAATTTAATTGTTGATAAAGTTTTGTCTTTAAATGTTGTACCTGATTCACCTGAGGAAGTTCAATCGGTAAATTTAATACCATTTTTACAAAATTTGAAACAAGCAAAAAGTTTATCTTTTAGTGGTAACTTATTTCAATTATTATTAAAGCAAATTTATAATAATCCAACTACAAATAAACAAAAAGAACTATCAACAACAACAACAGCTACTACCAATGCCACCACAACATCAAATTCAAATAGTAATTATAATAGTATTATTAAATGTTTATCAAATGTTGAAAATTATATTTTTTTGGACTCACCAATTACAATTGAACAGCTATATTATTTATTTTTATTATCTCCAAAAATAAAACTGTTACTAATTGAAATTTGTTATGATAATTTAATATATCAATTAGAAACAAATAGTGATGAACCTTTAGTTACCCCACCAACACCATGTAAATATTGTTCATCAAATTATAATCAATTTTTACAAGCATCAGCAGAATTTAGAATTCAATGGGAATTTATTTATAATACTATTAGATATAGTAAAAAATTAACGAGTTTAAATCTTGTACACAAATGTCCATCAAATAGTAATTTAGAAGAAGCTACTTTTGGTAGCCCAATTGGTGAATATCAAACTTTAGAATTATTACCAAAATATACAATTGAAACTTTAGGTTCAATGATCAGAAATAATAAATCAATAGAAATGTTAAAAATTGATTCATTTCATACATCTCAATTATTAGAATACATTTATAATGATAGTGATGATACCTCAAATTCGAATAATAATAAAAATACTACAATTACACAAATTTGTTCATCATTTAGAATTTTAAATCCATTAATAGAAACAGTTAGATCAAGTTTTCTTAAAATTGCAAATGAAATAGTTTCAAAAAATGATCAAATTCAAGATATAATTTTAAATGAACTTGATGGAAATTATGAATTTTATAAAAATATTTTTAGTTTTGATTTCACCAAAAATAGTATTAAAAAGAAATAATTATCAACATCATCATCTATCTAACAGATAATCATAATCATAATAAAAATAAAAATAAAAATAAAATAAAAATAATAATAAAAATAAAAATAAAAATAAAAATAAAAATAAAAATAAACATAAAAATAAAAATATTGGTTAATTATAAATTGGTAAAATATATTAAAGTGTTTGTTTGAACCACCCATCATAGACAAATTGCATAATAGAGAATGGGTCCAAATTTTGAGTTCAGAATTAAAAATTTTATTATTTTTTATTTATTTATATATTTTATTTGTAGTTTATTCATTCCATTTTAGATATATAAAAATCATTAAAGACTGGGTTTTTTAACAAAATCTCCCTTGAAACATTGACCCATTCTCTTTACAAAGAAAACTTTTTTCTTACAGTGTAGGGTGTATAATATTATTTTCCAAAATAGTTGTATCATTTCTTATCCAAACCTTTTTTTAACTGCTATTTTATAATAAGATAAATTGGAAGCAGATTCACCAGGATTAAAACCAAATAATCATCAATAAAAATACAAAAAAACAAACTAACGTTTGATGATGCTAAACACAAACCTTGATATACACAATTAATTTTATCAAACGTTTTTTTTCTCATACCGCAAACGATATCTTCTGTATTTTTTTTCTCATACAAAAATTAATTTTTTCTCATTATATTCCCATATAATTTTTAAAAAAAAAAACAAAAATTTTTTTTTTAAGCTTTATGATAAATAAGATAACGAAAACTGCTAAAATATCTTAGATATTTGCATATGGTTAAAACTTGAAAATTTAAAAAAAAAAAAAAATTTATTTTTTTTTTAAATTTTTAAGATAAATTTAAAAAATTAAAAAAATATAAAAAATTTTTTGTTTAAAAAAAAAAATTATATTTTTGAATTTCACACCAACAACAAGAATGGAACAACCAATCTTATCAAAATATTTACAAAAATATATAGTTGATATTATAGTATCAAATGTAAATAAAGAAAACAAACAATTATCAGATATAGGTGAATCTGTCTATCAATTACAAAATGATTTTAAAGATTTAGAGAAAGTTTGTTGGTATTGGTTTGAATTGGTTAGTAATGGATTAAATACTATATCATATGAACAATTAAATAATAAAGAGAATAGTGGTAATGAAGATAGTAAATATTCAATCATTAAAAAAGAAAATATCAAATACCTTTATTTAAAAAGAGATTTATTATGTAAAAAGATTGATGAAGATGAAGATGAAGATGATGGTGATAATGATGAAGAAGGTAACGAAGATCCTTTTTTAAAATCAGTGATATTGGGAATTAAAAATTCAATTTCAAAATATCCAAATTTAAAAAGAATAATTATAAACACAAAAACAAATCATTTTTATAAAATTTTAAATGGTTTAAAAAAAGGAAACTTTGATAATATTGGATCACAAACAATATCAAAAATAACAACAGAAACAGAAACTAAAACACAACCACCATCACCAAAACAAATTAAAATTTCAACTCCTATTTTTGATTATTCAAAAATAGTTTTATTAAATAGTAATATAATTGTTGATAAAGTTATTTCTTTAAATGTTTTTCTTGAAACACCTCAAGCTGGGGAAGCTCAATCGGTAAAATTATTACCATTTTTACAAAATTTGAAACAAGTAAAATATTTTTTTTCTTATGGTAAATTATTTCAATTATTATTAAAGCAAATTTATAATAATCCAACTACAAATAAACAAGAAGAACCATCAACAACAACAACAACAACGAATACTACTACCAATGCCACCACTGCTGCTTCCACTGTTGCCACCACTACTGCCACAACATCCAATTCAAATAATAATAATAATTGTATTATTAAATGTTTATCAAATGTTAACGGTTATGATTTTTATGAATCACCAATTACAATTGAACAATTATATTATTTATTATTATTATCACCAAAATTAAGTGCATTGACAATTGAAACTTGTTATGATAATTTAATATATCAATTAGAAACAAATAGTGATGAACCTTTAGTTACCCCACCAACACCATGTAAATATTGTTCATCAAATTATGGTCAATTTTTAGAAGCATCATCAAAATTTAGAAACCAATGGGAGTTTATTTATAATACTATTAGAAATAGTAAAGAATTAAAGACCTTTAAAATTACACACAAATGTCCATCAAATAATAATTTACATGAAACTACTTTTGGAAATTCAACTGGTGAATATCAAACTTTAGAATTATTACCAAAATATACAATTGAAACTTTAGGTTCAATGATCAGAAATAATAAATCAATAGAAATGTTAACAATTGATTCATTTCAGACATCTCAATTATTAGAATTCATTTATAATGATAGTGATGATAATTCAAATTCAAATTCAAATAATAATAAAAATACTACAATTACACAAATTTTTTCATCATTTAGAATTTTAGTTCCATTAATAGAAACAGCCAAATCAAATTATCTTAAAATTGCAAATGAAATAATTTCAAAAAATGATCAAATTCAAATAATGGTTTTAAATGAACTTGATGCAAATTATGATTTATTTGTAGAATTTTTAAATTATAATAAAGAAATATAAACAAGTGGCATTGACGATACAAAACAATCATCACCATCACATCATCATCATCTATTTAACAGATAATCATAATAATTAATAAAAATAATAATAATAAAAATAAAATTAAAAATAAAAATAAAAATAAAAATAAAAATTTTTAATTTATTATTCACATGCACATACTATGCATATTTGAAATTTTAATAATAATATCATTGATTTTTTCATTTAATATTTCTGTATTATTAATTTTGGGGCTAAATTATTTTATTTATTTTACTACGAATAATAATTTTTATTTTTATATTTGATATAGATCTTGAATTTTATTTTAGATATGTTATTATAGATAAAATTTAAAAAAAATTAAAAAATTAAAAAATTAAAAAAAACACAAGACATATTCAATGATGAATCCATGGTGAATCAATAGAATAGTAATGTATACAATAACACAAACAAACAAAAAGATAAACAAAGAGGTACATTTACAAATGAAAAAAAGAGGATTTTTAATTTTATGCTTTTTATTTTTTATGGTTTTATAAAGGGAGTTTATTTATTTTTTTACAAATTTATCATTTCGATAGAAAGGATGGATATATTTTATCAAGAAAAACTTTTGTGCCATTGATGGGATTAGAGTTTGGTATTTGTTTGAGGGAATTTGATGCTATTTAATTTCTGAAATTTTAATTGTTCTTGGTATTGAGATTTCTTTAATACGGCGCCTAATTTGACGTTAGATTATCTTATGATCTTGATTTAAATTTATTATAGTTTTTTAGATATATTGTAAATAATATCAGAAAAAAAATAAATAAAAAACTAAAAAGATAAATAAAAAAAATTTCCCAAGTTTCGATCATTGTTTATTTTATTGCTTTTTATTTACATTATCCAATTTATATACAATAAAAAAAAATAATAATATTAAAAAAAAAAAAAAAAAAGACAACAGTGTGTCTGAAAAGAAATAAAACAAAACAAAAAAAAATTAAAAATTAAAAAATAAAAATTTAAAAAAATTAAAAAAAAACAAAAAACAAAAAAATTAAAAAATAAAAAATGAAACATGAAAAATGAAAAATGAAAAAATAATCGATTTTTGTAATAATTTTATTATAATCACTTTGTAATTAATATTTATAATTTAGTATTAATCTTTATAACTAAATACCAATAATAAAATATTTTGAAAAAAAAAAAAGAGAAGAAAATAATTGGAAAATGATATATATTATTAAAATTTTTTATTTTTTTTTTAAAAATTTTTTTATTTTTATTATTAATTATTATATATAACAAAAAACAAATTTATAGATTAATAGATAGAGGATAAACAAATAAATAAATAAACTAATGAACTAATATTATTCCATATTATTAATTATTAATCTATTCTCTATCTGTTCATCTACAAAATATTCCTATTTGTCTAGTTTTTACAATGTTTGTTCAATAATCGAATCCAAAAAAAACTATGATAGAAAAAACCAATAAAGATAACGATAATAAAGAAAACATTTAAAAACCCAGTAAATAAATAAAAAACACAAGTTTTTTTTTTTTCAAAACAAAAAGCTTTAAAATTATAATCAGGATTCAGAACCTGAGCTTTATTAACTTTATTTTTCTTCATTGTTTAAAATATTTGGATAATCATTTAATTATTAATTAATTTGATCGAACGGGTGCTGAGTTCCGAATAGATGGTGTTCATATGGAACTTAGTTAAAAAGAAAAATGAAAAAAATAATCGACTTTTGAAAAAAAATAATTTTATTATAATCACATTGTAATTAAAATATAACTTTGATTAATCTTTTTATAACTAAATAACAACAATAAAAATATGCATCTTTTTTTAAAAAAAAAAAAAGAAAAAAAAATAATAGGAAAAATGAGAGATATTATTAAAATTTTTTTATTTTTTTTTTTAAAAATTTTTTATTTTAAAAACAAATAAATAGATTAATATGAATATTTTGTGAATGAATAGATAGAGAATAAATTAATAAATAAATAAACTAATGAATTATGGACGAATATGAAAATTTATTTTTTAAAATATTTAGGAATAAAGTGTTAATTAAATATATATTATCATTGACCCATATTAGAGGCCAAACTATCAAATATGATAGTTTTAACAATGTTTGTTCAATGATCGAATCCGATAATCTATCTTTGTTAAGAGATAAAGTCAAAAGAAAACTAAATATACAATTCCCACTTCGACGCCGTTTAGATATTATGGGTGATGCTGACCCAAACGATGATGAATTTATACCCATTTTCGAAACTATTAAAGAACCCACCAAAGAAAACTTAGAGTTTTATTCAAATTTATTCACAAACTATGCTGATTATGTAATAGATTTTAATACTAAATTAATGTTTGCAACTAGATTCAATTGTTTAGCATCTTTTATAGTACTCGATCAAATAGTATCACTGTCAAAGAGCTCTGTAGTTATCTACCAATCTCTTTTTGAACTATCAATGGCCCATCATTCTTACGATATCATAATACATTTAATTCAAAACTATTCAAATTCAATCGATTTATCATCATGTTTTTTATGGAGCTCATTGTTAAAAAATTCAAAAAAAAAGACTATAATTACAAATGAAATAAAAACCAATTACAAACTTTTAAAATACTATATAAATCTTTTTTTGGATGACAAAAGCAACATTCCAAAGCTATTTTCAAAATGCCCAATTATGTCATTTAAACTTTCAGATTTAATAATTGCATGCAAATCGATTTTATTAGTAAAGCCTATACTGGAACTAAAAGTCTCTATTGAGGCTCCTGAATTAAAAAATATTAAAAATGGCTTTTCGAAAGAAGAATTGAACCTTAGTGTGGCCAAAAGTTCGAATAAAAAAGAAATTTATCAACTATTAGAGCTTTATTATTCGACGGGTGGCTGCGAAAAATCATTAGCGTATCATTTAAAATTCCATGAAAATCAAGATTTTAATTTTGGCAGTTTAACAACATTCCCACATTTCTATATTAATTTCAAACTCTGTTTAAAGTATGCAAATGTAAATTATTTAAGACATCTAAAAAAAAGTGTCGAACAAGGTTTAAAAACTGTTTATAAAAAAATGATTGGCAACATTTTATTCAAAAAAATTAATAGAGGTAACAAAGATGAAATCAAAATTAAAAAACAAGATTTTATTAGGGAACTGGTCATACTAGATGCCATTTGTCCAATGGTGCTACTGTTTTCTTTAGTTCAAATTGATGATATCGAGATGGTCGCATATTTTGATCAGTTTTTGGAAATCAATAACAACCAATGTGCAATAAATTTCAACAACTATAGAAACAGTTACCCACTGAATATTAAGAGTTGTATCAAATCAAAAGAAATGTTGTTTTTTTGCTTCAATAATTTAAAATTAAAACAGTTTTTATTGGATGAATTTTACAAAAGTGAAGTATTATGTTGGGTTACCAATGGCCGTATAGACTTACTCGACTACTATAATCAATTGCTTCAAGAAGAGGAGCCTATATTACCAGCACTTGCAAATAAAGCTTTTAGTCAATTCTCCGGTCAATCAGAGTATAACGTTATATTTGGAATCGAATATATTATCAAAAAAGTAAAAGAATATCAAATCACTAAACACTTTGACGAAAAAGGTTTAATTCCATTAGTAAGATTAAGGGCACATGATAATGATCCCAAATATAGAAGGAATCTAGAATGTGTAAAATATATAATCGAGAATACTCATTGCCAATATTACCCATTTCAAATTTTTTTACTTTCATACGGAGCCTCAGCAAATAGGTGGTGGATCGATTTTTTAGACTGGATATATACATTCCGAAAAGAAGATATCGAAAGTGGTAGATGCCAACTATACGAATACAGTTGGTATAGTTTTGACGTTTCTCAAGAGAAAACTACAGATACATTAGACCTTTACCACCTTTCTTTGTATTTAACCGGTAGAGAGAACCAACTATTTTCAGAAATTAAAACAATCAAATCAAATAAAGATTTCTCACAACTAACCTCGACAATAGCTAAAAAAGGTGATATAGAAATGTTTGATAGATTAATGGACCATTTCAATAAAATAGAGCCATCCGATCAAGACTCACTAGCTTCTTTTATAGATATAAAATCAAAAATCCTTCAAGATTTTTTAGAATTTGCAACTTTCTATTGTCAATTAAAAATATTTAATCATATAAACCTCAATTATAATGATATTCTGCAATTTAAAAATCAAACTCCAAAAGAAAAAACTCCATTAATCAACAATACTTTATTTGCTTCAATTTTAAAAAAAGCTATATCTTCCGATGATATCATGTTGTTTAATTATTTTTTTGACAACCTAGATTATCCATGTATAAAATCAATATTAAAAGACACTGATAAGGATTCAATAATTTTTAATAATTATAAAAATTATAATTTCGAATAAAAATTATTTACCCCCAAATTTATAATTCTATATGGGTTTTTTTTTTTTAAATCTTTCTTTGGTGGGGTAAAAATAAAACTAAAAAAATATCTTTCAAGAAAGATTATTTTTAATTTACATTGTTTTTTTTTTTTTTCTAATTGGTTTTTTTTTTTAATCTTTTCATATATATTTATTCATTAAAAAATAAATAAAAAAAATAATTTATTTGAAGTCGGAGAAGCACATAACAAAATAATTATAACCAATAAATAGATATTTTTTAATTTTCTTTATTTAAATTATCTAAATAAAAATTAAATAAAATAAAATAAAATATTTATCCTCATTTTGGGACAATGTCCCTATTGTCACGCTCAAAAAATTTAAAAAAAATTAAAAAAAATTAAAAAAAAAAAAAAAATTAGCAATTTTTTTTATTTTTTTTATTTTTTTTTAAATTTCTAAAATATAAATAATAAAGCTCAATACACCAAATTTTATAATTAATTTAAATATATTTATTTTTAATGAAATAAAAATAAAATATAGATAAAATAAAGTAATATTACCCTTATAACTACATTTGTATATTTATTTTTTAAAAAAAAAAAAAAAAAAGAAATAGAGTTTTTTTTAATAGGTGTTTTTTTTTTTTTTTTTAAATTTAATAATTATTTTTTTAATATTTTTTTAAATTTTTTTAAACGAATTATCGCTCAAAAAAAAACTCTAAACTTTAAAAAACAACAATTGTTATTAAAAAAATAATTAATCTTATAATAAATTGTACAATAAAATAATTAATAAATAATTTATATAATAGATATTTTTATATATATATATTTTTATTTGTTTGGTATCGAATCCTAGAAATAATTGCAATAATAATATAAAATATTCTGTATCACCACACAAAAAAAAAAAAACCCTCATAATAATTTTGTGTATTCTATAAATATTTATTAGTAATATAATAATAATAAAAATAAGAAAATTCTCTATTATTAAATTACACACAAATATCACCCATATTTATTTTTTTTTTTTTTTTTTTTTTTTTTTTATTAAATATTATTCACAATATATATAATAATAATTATAATTTTTAAAACTAAATAAATAGTTTAAGGAATAAGGAAAAAAAGAAATGTCACATATAAATATTGTTGGAGCATGTGTTGTTAGTGACTCGCCAGATACTTTTTGTAATAGTAGAAAAGAGGGTTTACCAATACCAATAATAAATATGGTGGAAAATAATAAAGGTATAAATTCATCATCTTCATCAACAAATTCATCAACAAATTCATCACCATCAATATCAACATCCTCATCTTCATCATCTTTAACGACTTTTGAAATACAACAACAACAGCAACATGAACTTAATGGTTTAATAAATAATTTATCATCAAACACAAATTCAATCGATTTACATATAACAAATGAAGGTGCAAGTGGTAGCCATAATAATAATAACAATAATAATAGTAATAATACTAGTGTTAATATTAATAATAGTAACATTAATTCAAATAATAACACACCATCATCATCACCCCCTAAATTTAATCCAAAAGATAGACCAATTTCATTACCTAATCAATCGGCACCAATTAAACATTTTGCATTAGATATTGGCGGTACATTGGCAAAGTTAGTTTATTTTGTTCAAAATAAAGATAAATCAAATGTAAATGAAATAGGCGGTAAATTACATTTTATTAAATTTAGAACCAAAGATATAGATCTTTGTTTAGATTTTATTATAGGTAATTAATAGTTAGTATTAATCTCTTTACCATCTATACTTGACTAAGTGTTTATTTTTTTTTTAAAATTATAGAAAATAATTTACATATTGAAGATGGTAAACCTAAAGATGTTAGAGTAACAGGTGGTGGTGCATTTAAGTATTCAGAACTTTTTGAAAATAGATTAGGTTGTAAATTAATTAAAGAGGATGAGATGCAATGTTTAATTTGGGGTACCAACTTTTTACTTAATAATATTAAAAAAGAATCATTCACATATTCAACCACACCAAATGCGATATCTCCAAAAGAATTTATAGATAAAACCGTAAGTTTATTTTAAAAACTAATGAAGAGATAGAGTCATATTGATTAATTATTTATTTATAAAATTATTTATTTACATACAATATAGGATGATCAATATCCATTTTTATTAGTAAATATTGGATCAGGTGTAAGCATTATTAAAGTAGATAGTCCAACTAGTTTTCAAAGAGTTGATGGTACCAGTTTAGGAGGTGGCACATTTTTTGGGCTTTGTAGTTTATTAACAGGGGTTACTGATTATGACGAAATGTTAGAATTAACAAGAAATGGCGAATCAAATACAGTGGATTTGGTTGTAGGTGATATCTATGGTACAGATTATTCTAAAATAGGTTTATCATCAGATACTATTGCAAGTAGTTTTGGTAAAATTATTTACAAGAATCCAGACGGTGAAAAACTCGACGATATTAAAAAAGAAGATATAGCCCAAAGTTTATTAAAAATGGTATCAAATAACATAGGTCAAATCGCTTATTTAAATTCACAACGTTATGGGTTAAATAAAATTTATTTTGGAGGCTTCTTTATCAGAGATCATCCCAATACTATGCAACGTATTTCTTTTGCCATAGATTTCTGGTCCAAAGGTAAAACAAAAGCTATGTTTTTGGTGCACGATGGTTATTTAGGTGCATTAGGTGCATTTTTAGCTCCAGAGCCAAAGGAGGAATCAGAATCGACATGCATCAGCGAAGATAGTTCAGTTGCCGAATCAACTTCAGAGTTGGTAAATAAATCTTGGTGGAAACGTACTACTAATGAACTTTCAAAATTATTTTCAAAATCTACATCAATTACAACTAATTCAACCACTGTAAATAATAATTCAACAATGACATCATCAACAACAACAACAACCACATCTACAAGAATATCCCATGATCAAAATATATGCGAGTGCGGTTGCGAATCATCTTTTGATTTTTAAAAGTTAAAATTCAAAATAAAAAAAGGAAAAACAAAAAAAAAAAACAAAAAACAAAAATCAACAAAGGAAAGAAAAACACCAAAGAAAAGATATACATCTTTTTTTTTTTAAAAATTTTCTTTTTTTCTAAAAAAAAATTAAATTATTAAATTAATTATAATTATAACAATAAACAAAAAAAAAAAGAAAAAAAGGTTACTTTTTTTTTTTTTTATTAAATTTTTTATTTTTTTAAAAAATAATTATTTGTTTCTTAATTAATCTTTATTTAATGGGAATTTTAATGGAAGATTAATATATTTCTTAATTATTTCCTTTCTTTTATTTTTAGAATCTATTGGAGTTATGGAGTCTGTTGGGATTTCATAGATGAAAGAATCTGTGCTTGGAGAGACGGCTGGGGCAATTTGGTTTTTTGTGCCATTTGGAAATGAAATACATTGTATGTTGGTATAAAATAGATCATTTTCAAAGGTTGTGTTGTTTCCTCTTACTTGTAGGACTTTTAAATTTTCTGGAATTATGTTTAAGGAAATGTGATGCTTAAATGAGCTGGATAGTGATAGGTACTTTATCCTGGAGCCCAAACCAAGTGGTTTAATGATTGAATCAAAACCTTTTCCTAATATTAGAACTTCCAATTGAGGTAAATCTGGAATAAATTTTTCTGTTTCTAATCCTAAGTTGGTATTATTATGATTTCTATAAACACCTATTACAGACAATTTTAAAAATTTTAGGGTCTTTGGAAGGGTAATACTATTAAATTTGAATGATAATTCTAAATCCAATGTCACCAAAAACTCTGGGAAAAATTTTGGATTTATATTTAAAAATTTTGGATTATAAATGGAAGCTTTTACATTTTTTATTGTATTTGGTAGGGATGCATCCACGTTTAAATATGATTTTGTAAAATGTGGACCACATAAAAATGTTTTGACTGAGGGGGGGATGTTTGTAGGGCTTGTATTTGATCTATCAAATTTTAATTGGGTTACCGATGAAGGAATTAAATCTGGTTGTATTATTTTTATATCGTCTGTTTCAGAAACTCTACCGTATTTTAATAAGGAACCTTGGATATCTGAAGTATCTCCCAATACCAAGTATTTTAAGTTTTCCCTATATTTGAAATCAGTCAAACTGAGGATGTTGAAGGTGTGACTTTTGGTATACTCATTCAAATCTCTTTGGTTTTCTTTTCTGTTGATTTCATAAATAATTGACATCAAGTAATGATTTTTAAATATTTTAAAAAACAAAGCCTCTTCTTTTGTTTCATAAACAGCTTTTTTTGTTGGAATTTTTGTTTCAATGGGATTAAAATTTAAACTTCTGAATAACACTTGAACTTCAGCTAGTTGATCATATAGTAATTGAACTTTTTCCATTTTATTCAATTGGTAATATAATTTATATTTTATTTTTAAGAGAGTTTTAATTATAACACTTGTTTATTATTACTATTATTATTTTGTTGATAAAAAAAAAATAACCCTTTTTTTTTTTAATTTTTTTATTTTTAAAAATTATTGCTATATGTTTTTTAAAAAAAAAAAATTCATATTTTATTTTAAATAAATTATATAATAAAAAAAATTAATATTATTATAAAAGGGGGTGATCACTCAAAAAAAAAAAAATTAATTCAATTAAGATTATCGAGATGTATAAATTTCGATAAATGGCTCTTTATCTTTTATAACTCCACTTTTTTTTTTTTTTCTAATCAACATTCAAACAACAAACACTATAAAACTCTTTTTTTTTAATGATTGAAAAAAAAAAAAAGAAATATTAAATATTTATTGTAAAAAAATAGATTACGTGTTTATGAACATTAAATCTAGTTTTACTAAAATTTTATTATAGTTTTTAAATTAAAATTTATTTATTCATAAATTTTTAATAATATATTAATTTGATAAAACTCCTTTTAAGAATGAAACAACTTCTTCTCTAGCATTAACTAATGAGATTGGATCCTCACTAGTTTCCTGAATTAATGAAGCACAATGACCAGCTTCATAGGTAGCAGCTCTAACGGTACCAGCTTCATTATCACTGTTTACACTTAATAAGTGCCATGGCTAAAGAGAAAAATTAGTATCAAAACCACTAATATAATTAAAAGTTGAAATAAAAACTTACATCAAGTAAACCATTAGTAAACATAACATTGGTGGCTTGAGTATTTTGACCACCATAGTAAGCATTGGTCCAGTCAATATTTGGTGTCATACCTGGAACATCAAAGATTTCTTCGCACCATTTAACTTGTTCTTCTACATTTAATGTTGGTGGGAAAACACTAGTTCCTTCATAGGTAGTTGAAAAATAACCAAATCTAAAATAAACATAAATAAATTAGTTATAAATAAATAAATAAAGTTCTATATATATTATAAAAATCAAATAATTACTCGACACAGGTTTGATATACCCAAGATCTTGAACCATCTTGTTGACTAATTTTAATTTCTCTCATTTGTTCAATGAAAGTTGATAATCTATAATCGTTACATCCAGTTTGACCAGCATTAACAATTTGAGCCCAGTTGGTTAAAAGGTTATCGTTTTGTAAGAAGGTACCACAAGTGGAGTTAAGAATCCAAGTTGGTGGATTATTCATTTGATCGGCTGAGCCTAAAGCTTCAGTAAGAGTGTAAAGGAAATAATAAAGATCTCTTGGATTTTCTAATGAGTGGCATGAGTTAAAAGTTTTTTCTAATTGTTTAATACCAGCTGATGATTTGGTTAATTGCATGATTTGGTTTGTGGCGGTTTGAGCAGCTTGGACACAATTTGGTGCAGCTGAATTTGAAAATTGAGCATAATAACCTGTAAAGTTAAGTTGAGCAAGAACTGGACCACTTGGTGCAATACTAGCAATAGCTAATTGTGGGTATTTTAATCTAAACCATGATGATAATGCACCACTATATGAACAACCAAAAACAACTGTTGGGTTTTCAACAAGGTCATTTTCGGCTTTATAAGTTGATAAAAAGTTTGCAGCATCTGCAAGTGCTTGTTGTGATGTTAAATATTTAAGATTATTTGTTGATAAATCTTGTGTTGGATAGGATTTACCATAACTAAATAAATTTATTTTTTAAAAAAATAAACCAAATAAAATTAGTTTTGTGTTTAAAGAGTAATGTTTTTTTTTTATAAATTTCAAAATAAAAAATATTTACAATCTATGTTCGATAACAATAAATAAGGCACCAAATTGCTTGGCCCATTCAACAACTTGAACTTCTTGAAATCCAAAGAATCCCATTGGTGCTTCACCTGTAAAAAAAAAAGTAAGTAAAATTGATTTAATCGCTTAATATAATATATTTAAATTTACCTGCTAAATAAATGAAAATTGGTCCTGATCCATCAAAATAATCATCTACTACAATATATTGTTGTTTATATGTGTTGTTGTTGAAAAAGTCATAATGATCAATTTTTTGATCAAACCAAAAGGTTTGATTGGAGAAGACTGGTACCTCGCCTAATTGTTCTCTATATAGTCTTTCTCTATTCTTGCCAAAAGGTGTTTTAAAAACACCATAGGCAGAGTTTAATAAACATGAAACTAAAACTAATAATAATAATAATTTCATTTTGTTTTAAAGAAATAAATATTGTTTGTAAAATAAAAAAAAAAAATGAAAAAATTAAAAAAAAATTAAAAAATTTTTTAAAAAAAATAAAAAAAAATATCTTTATCTGATGATTCTTACGAATATTCATTTGCATATGACACTCTTCATTATTCTAAATTAATTCTTAAAAATGGTAAATATAAATATTTAAAAAATATTAGAAAAAGATAAAAGAAAAATGGGTAAAATTTAATTTTTTAAGATTAAAAAAATTTTATTATTTTTTGAAAAAAAAAAAAAAAAAAAGAAATTAAAATGAGTAAAAGAATTATTACAACCTTAAAAATAGTTGGTTTTGTTGATTTTGTTGATTTTGATTTTGATTTTGATTTTGTTTTTGTTTTTTGTTTTTTGTTTTTTGTTTTTTGTTTTTTTTTGTTTTTTTTTTGTTTTTTTGATTATTTATAAAAATTTTATATAGGTAAAGAAAAGGAAGAATGAGGAACATTTGGAGCTGAACCACTATCAACAACTGGTGAAGATTTTAAAGATATTGAACTTATATAAGAAAGTGGTGGTGGAGGTGGTGAGATAATACTCTCAAATGTTGAGACTATCTCCAACATTTGTAAAACTTGATTTTGATTATTTACAAAGTATTTTGAATAGGATTTCTTTTTACCAACGGATACAGCAAAATGATGAGGATTATTTCTATCTAAAAGATCAAAAACACCTTGCTCGGTTTTATCATCGCCAATACAAAGAATGAAATCGATTTCTGGGTTTTCTTCTATGACCTTTTTCATTGCTACACTGCTACCAGTACCAGATGGTTTAATTTCAATAATTTTGTTATTATTTGATATATCTATTGGAGTTTTACCTGCTACTTCCATTAATGTTGTCAAAAGTTCTTGGGCATTATCAGCAGAGTATTCATTTGAACAATTTTCATATGAAAATGTTACGGTTACAGAATTTACCAATAATGAGGATCCTGGTAAACGTTCAGAGAAATGTTCTAAAATTGGAACCACAATCTCTTTCCATGACATATCAATACCCTCTGAAAGATTTTGCCACTCTCCTGTTGGTCTAATACCAGTTGATGATTTTAAAAATGAACCATTCTCACAACCCAAGCCAACTGGAATATTTTCTAAAAGGTTTTCAAAGGTATCTTTATCTCTACTGGTGATTACATAAATAATATTCTTTGTGTCTTTTGAAAGTTTCTTTAAAATATTTGCAATTCTTGCAGGTAAATAGGGTTGTGGACTACCAGGTAGTATTTTCTTGAAAGCACCGTCATAGTCGAAAATTAATAGTCTCTTCTCTGCTAAACGATATGATTTATCTAGGGATTTGGATTCAAGATGTGAGCAAGGTTTATTTGGTTCTGGGGTTGTATCATAGATTTGAAGAATGTCATATAGAAATGCTTCACCCCAAAGATAACTTGTATTTAAATTAACGTATTCGAAATTATGTCTATGTTTTATTAAAGCCTCTTCATTAGATAAATTGATAGCGTCATGAATACCTTGACTAATTTCGTTTACGCTGTATGGATTAACTAAGAGGGCTCCTCCGAAACAACGAGATGCACCATCAAATTCGCTGAGAATTAAAATACCTGGTTTTGAATTGTTATTGCTGTTCTCGTGGCATACTACAAAGTCGTGTGTATCTAAATTCATACCTTCACGAAGTGGAGCAGATAATAAAATATCAGCAACTTGGAATAAGGAACAAAGCTCTTCGTAATCTATGTATCTATTGATATATTGAATAGGTATATTACCAACTTTACCATATTCCCCATTGATTCTTGCTACTGTTTCATTGATTGTCGAAATGATTTTATCTTTTTTACAACTAATACTGTTACTATTGTGAAGATTAACTGAATGTTTAATTGGTTCACAAACTAAAAATAATACAACATCTTTAACTAAACTTGGGTTTTTCTTTAAAAACAATTCAAAAGCCAATAATTTATTTTTTGTACCTTCAGTTGCTTCACCTTGATCTCTTTAAAAAATAAATAAAAGAATTAGTAAATGATTAAATCAAATCTATTTAAATTTTTTTTACTTATTTAACTACTTACTTTGAAATTATAATTTTTTTGCCTTTAAAAGTTTCCTTTAATTCATTTATTCTTTGTTTAATATCCTCTTGTTTTAAAATATTTAAAGTGATATTTGGATCGATACCTTCAGAGAAAACTGAAATTTTTGTTAAAAATTCACCACCACCGGAAATCTTTTCATCTCTATATTTTACACCGTCAAAACCTGCAGGAGTTCCCAGAATACGAGTGCAGGACTGATAAAAGTAACGAGAATAAGAATAAGCTTGAAAAGCAACCAAATTGGCGCCCAGCATACCTTTAAGAATCTTCTTTCTCGAGGCTAAACATCTAAAAACTTCTACTGCTGGGAATGGGGAATGGAGGAAAAATCCAACCAACATATTTGGGTTATTGATTCTAAGCAAACGTGGTAAAGTTAATAATTGAAGACCGTGGATCCATATAATATCACCTGGTTTATATAATTGCTCTATTTTCCAAGCAAATTGTCTGTTAAATTCTTTATAGCTTTTCCAATGATTTTCGTCAAACTTTATTTCTGATACTTCATAGTGGAATATATTTTTTAATGATTTATTTGCAAAATTAATACATGCATCCTCATATAATTTACTATTGATTGTTTCAACTGGGTAACAATTATTATCCTCTAAATCTTTTTGTAACTTATTCCTATCTTCTTCTGAATCATCATTGCTTGTACCACTTAATGGTTTAAATTGATCTGAAACTGGACAACCAACCCAAATATAGTCATCGATAACTGTTAAAAAAAAATAACTATTAATATATAAATGAGACTTTTTTTTTTTAATTAAAAGTAAATTACTTACTGTTGTTTTCTTTAAGTAAATGTACTGAGCTTGCTAATGAGGCTAAATTTCTGTCATGAAAAGACCAATCTAATTATTTTTTAAAAGAAAAAATTAATATTTAAAATTTTATTTTTATTTGGTAAAAAAAAAAAAAAGTATTGTAAAAACTATACTTACACCCTCCGCCTGCAATTTTTTGTAATGATAATGGTAATGAGTGATGAACCAAAATTAATCTTCTACTTTCTCTTTTTGGTAACAATGAGTCCATTATGTATATAGATTTAAGATTTTTAAAAAAAAATTAATTTTTTTTTATTTTTTTTTTATTATTTTTTTTTTTAGTTTTATAAATTATTTAAAAAAGATAACTAGTTATTTATTATTTTACTTTATAATATTACTATTATTAATTACTTTGTCTTTTTATTTGTGTGTGAATGTGTGTGATGTGAGAAAATATAATGAAAAAAAAAAAAATAAAAAAAAAAGTGTTTTATTATTTTTGATACAATAGTAGTGTTAAATATTTTTTTTTTTTAATATATATATATAATTTAATTTAATTTAATTTAATTTAATTTGGTGCGATAAAAAAATATATTTATTCAATAATTATTTATTATTATAATATTGTTTAAAAATTTTGTAAGTTTACTAAATTCGTTATTGTTTTATTATTATAATTTGGATTTAATTAGGATATGTGTTGTTATTATTATTTATCCTTTTTAAGATTATTGTCACTTTGTTAAAATATATAATACAATTAAATATTATGGACAGGATAATTATTTTTTCTATAAATGTGTATGGTTGAGAAAAAAAAAAATAAACTGTGTGCTAATATATAATTAATTAATTTATTTTTTATTATTTTTTATTATTTTTATTATATTATTATTTTATCTTTTTTTTTTTTTAGATTTAACAAAATTATTGAATGCACTAAACAAATTATAATTTCCCAATTAAACTGATAGGAACAAATAAAAAATTAATGAAAACAATAAGAAAAAAAAAAAATTTAAATGATTTTTTTTTTTATTATTTTAAAATTAAAAATTTAAATTATAAATAAATTAAATATTAATATTTTTTTTTTTTTTTATT